GATGTCGGCTGCCCATTTCGGAGGCTTTCCTATACGCCAGTTCAGTTGCCGAACAGATGGGTAATATGAAAGAATTTACCAGATCTTCTTGAGACAAATGCACGCTGGGATCATGGTCATGCGCCTTTCGGTACTGTCTGATTGACTGCACAGGTTGAGCAATACAATACAGATGGTGGGAGATCCCGTACCTCGGTGTCGTGCTTCATGCCCAATTCTTGACACGCTGTCGGATTGCCTTGCGAAGAGCCTTCTTGACAACATCGTGGACGGTGGGGTCATTCTCCTGGTGCAGCAGAACGCAGAGGTCCATGTCGTGGAAATGGGAGTTGACGACATCCGAGCCCAAGACCGACGGCGCATAATGGGACGTCCGAGGGGTTCTCCCTGCAAGTGTATCTTGGACGATCTGCTCCTCCTCTTGGTTAAGCTCATTCGGGGAGTACGGCCGTTGGATAGGTGTGGCTGTGCTCCCGGTCCTGTGCGAGGCAATCGATGGGGCTTTGACAGGCAGTGGTGATTGCGCAGAGAACTGAGAGCGAGCGACGGAGGCGGCTTTCATCACTGGAGTCGTCGTTGACGGAGGTGGTAAGGCTGGCTCGGCTGCGGATTGGTCTAGATCTGGCGGGATAAATGCACGCCCCCGGACCGCTGCGTGCAGAAGGTCCTCGTGGGTAGGGGCGTGTCGATAGGGCGAAAATGGTCTGTTCTGATGCCCGCCAGAGAACATGGATCCGCCGGGAGAACGCGGAGGGTCTGTTCGCACATCAATCACGCTTCTGCGAATGGTCATTTCGCTTACTCTGCATGCTGCGAGTGGCGCTTCGAGGCGACAGCGGCTCCGCCTTCCGTGATGGGGATTGCGGCGGCGGTGGAGAGTGCTGGGAAGGACCTCAGGAGACGAAAAAGTCATGGCAGGAAACCTACAGTTTTGGACCGAGGCGGAGAATCGTCTTCACCGACACGACTTTCCGGCAAGGCAGGATAGGCAGTGGCCTTCTCGGTGGCCTTGGTCAGGCGAGATCGACTCGACATGGGAGACCAGGGACGTTCGTCGTTCTGCTGGGCCTTTGACTATACCGATTAGTTGACTTCGATAGTTGTACCAGAACACCTCACAGCAGTACGTTGCGTGTGTGCCTTCTTCGAAGCCTGAGACGCAGCCTCCCGTCAACGTTCACGCTTCCTGTCCTGGATTCAGGCAGGGGAACCTTCGCATACGCTGGCACTGCATGCCCCCAGTCAGGCTATTTTGAATCTGTCAAAATCGTCGTACAGGTTGTACGCTTGGTGCACGTACTGTCCATGTAGGTTGGAACATAGGTGTGCGGGAGGGTCCATCGTCGGGCATGGGTCCGAAGTTTCCGAACGAGGGCCCGGAGTCGAACGAAGGATAGTGAGGGCCGGGGTCGTCATTCGGACCTGGCTCAAAGCTGGGCTGACGCTACCCGCCACTTAGTTGAGACAAAAACTTTTGTGAATAGAATAGTGGGACGCACCACAGGCAAAGGATGATCTCCAAACTCTGAGCGCTGCCCGTTTTGCTCTATCGAGGCCGCATCGTCTCCGTTCACTGTCCTCGTGCGCGTTTGCTTGTCGCCGCCGAGCGCGACGCCACCACCTTTAGAACGATCGTCGTAGCTGACAGGTGATTTGGCCAAGTCCCGCAGAGCCTGACTGGTCTTGCTTCGGACGCCAGGGGACCGCAGCATCTCCGGGATGGTAGCGTTGTACTCTTCAGCATCTGCGAGCGACCGAGGGGGAGAAATGTCGACGTCATCGCCTTCGCGGGACATGCCTTCTAGATAGCGGAGCACTAGGGTAAAAGCAGTCAGAGAGCGCCCACGAGAGGTGGCAAGCAGCTATTAACCTTTCTCTGCCGGACCTACAATCAGTTTAGTAAAGGATGGACTTCGAATGCTTGGGAACAAAGCTACCGGGGGTGCCAGAACGCATCAAAATGGGACTGAGGCGTTGACCGGCTTCAGACATGTTTGGAATTTAGTGGTTTCGTGGTTTCGTAAGTCAAGTCGTGTCGGAGCGTTAGTAGAGTCGAGTAAGTATGACAGTGGGTATTTCGCAGGATGAGGAGACGCAGGAGATTGTGGGGGATTCAATCAGAGAACGGGTGTTGTGTGACTTCACACCCCAATCAACCTCACATGACCTCGACTGTCACGTGTCAGGTTGAGCGGTACTGACGCGAGGCCGACTGTCAATACTTATCAGTATCAGATAAAGAGCACAACACCCCAGTCCGACTCGGAGGTGAGGGCAGGTGGGAAGACTTCCTCTTGATCGAAGAGAAAACATAAATGGTAATTTGGTTTCTATACTGGGCCCGATCGATCGAATTCAAGAGCGCTCCTGACTGTTGTTCCTACTCCGTGCCGCATCCTTCCCAACTACAGAGCTAGGAGTTGACCACACTGCCACTCTGTGTCTGCTCGAAACTCCGCAAATATCAGCTCTTCTCGTGACTGTGCCGGTCTACGTTATGCACATCGGTGGATGAAAGCGATGAACAATTCCCAGCGGCCTGGCTGTGGACGGTTCCAACTCGAAAGCAAAGAGGACCTCGATGTTGTAGGGCGTCCGAGTGCAACACATCAAGTCGAATGAATGTCCGGGAATGAAAAGCATGGCAAGTACGTGAGCCGAGATATATTGCTGCTGGGGGTCTCACGCCTTGAGCAGTCTAAGGGAGCAAAATCGCGCAACCACTACGAGGAAAAAATTACTGAACTTGGTCCACACTGGAGGCACCAAAATTAATCAGAGAATCGATTCTAGGCTTGCTCTGTGTCGAAGGTCGATCTCGAAGACTCTCGATCGCTCCCCGCGGACTCCGTCCCTTCATCTCAGCTCTACGGCGCACAGTCGTTGGAGCCCAGGAAGATATGATTCTCAGAAGCTGAAGTTTCATGACCTCAGGAGTGCAGCAAGGCCCTGATGGGCAGCCGCAAATAGAACGTGAGATAGCAGCTGTCAACAACTGTTCGGGGACGCTCTCATCTTGCTCCCATGTGAATATAACTTGTGAGTACTTGCACTCAGCAGTTCCCCGATCACTAGGCCGAGTTTGCAAAGAAATCGCGTTATGTGCCGTTTCCAAAAAGTCTGTTAGACTCTCAGACCTATCCTGAGGGGTAGATTGGGTCGACCGCTGAACTTAGCCTTTCGCAACCCTGTCCCCTGCTTGGACAGAATACTTCACGGCCGGCGCTCAACCGCACATTCTCCAAGTCATCAATTCAAGATCCTTCTCCCGCACTTTCATATGACTTCACTGGTCGAGATGTCGATTTGGGACGATTGCGTCACTGGCAGATGTGTTCCCTGCGCATATAAATCGCGAGACTGTTATGGGGGACCCAAATCAGACTCGAGCTACTCGGAATGGTGCCTCCGCTTCTCTCTCTCGTTGCCGGGCTTTTGCTGTCAGCCACTGTGGCTGCATCTCCGACCGCTCTAGAGAAGAGACAGTGCACCGCAACCTTGAATACCGCAATGGTGCGCACAGTCATGGGGCGCTCTCCTGTCTGACGCCCACCATTTTCCAGTCTGTGGCGGAGACACTGCAGGCGCACTACTTTGACGCGTCGTCCGGCATGTACAACGGAGGTCAGCTGAACCACCGTCGGCCGACCCAGTTCTGACTATCGTTGTTCCAGGGTCGCTCTGGACCGACGCAGTATGTCCCCTCCTTCTCTTCTGCGCCGCTTCTCGTCATGACGGCTGCTGTCCAGAACACACTCGAGGATCTCCACAATCTCGTAAGCCGCAAGCCGCAAGCCGAGCCACTTCGGGTGTCGGCTGATCCGCGCACAGATGCTTGCGACCGGGACAGATCAATTCTCGGCGGTTGCAGACCAATCTTTCCTGGGCCGCTCGACGCAAGATACTAGCGCGGCGCACTGGCAGGGCATCTTCAACGGTGCCAACGACGATGCGCTGGTTTGGATTTGCCTCAGCCTCATTTTATCTAATCTAATCTATTGCTTATCATTCTAGTGGATCGTGCTCAGCCTGTGGAAGATGGCAGACTACAAGGTTGCGCGGGGGATTGATGCGACTGCGTATTGGGTAATTTTTCTTGTTTGGGTCTGTGATCTATATGCTCAGAATGCGATAGAACAGTGCCCTCACTGTGTACAACATAATCGCGGGTAGGTTGCCCTGATTGCAGTAGCTGTGTTGAGCAGTATGGACGTTTGCAGGACAATGGGACAACGCTTGTGGCGGCGGAGGTACATCGTGCAAGCTTCTGCCAACTTTGTTTTTGCTGATCCTCTCTCAAACAGTCTGGTGGAGCACCGCACACAATTACAAGAATGGTACAACTCAAACTCACGGATGAACAACTGACAAACAAGTCGGCAGCAATCACAAACCAACTGTTCCTCCTGACTTCTGCGTTTGTTTTCCAAAGCGATCTTCTCCGCACTCTGTCTCATTCATATTTTAGCGAAGGCGCCATCCGATTCCCCTCCCAGAGCATGTTCCTCCCGAATGCCATCAAGACATGGAACTGGCGTGCGCGCTCTGTCGTGTATTCTCTGTAACATCGCTCACTGATGGACAGTACGCGCAAGCGGCATGCGCAACTCACAAGGCCTGTGGAATGACGGACTGACGCTGGACACTTGTGTCAACAACGGCCAGACGACGTGGACGTACAACCAAGGCGTTATCGCATCCGGGCTCTCCTCGCTGGCACTGGCCACCGGGAACACGACATTGCTGGCGGAAGCGCAGATCACACTCGATGCGACGATCGCGCATTTGAGCGAGAACAACATCCTCAAGGAGACCTGCGACAACGCTGCCGCGGGGGGCAGCGTCTGCGATGCAGACCAGGTCTGTGGACCTATTTCTCCACAAACTCTGGCTCACACGCTTGATCTCGACAGCAACTTTTCAAAGGGCTGTGGACCAAGTCCGTTCTTTTTTTGGGTTCCTACAACTGTTAAAGCTCACCGCGCGCGCACACACAAGGCATCTGCAATATTTCCTCGACCGGGCCAATAGCCCTGCGTTGAATTCCAAATACAGCGGATTCCTGGGCTCGCAGTCGTCGGCCGTATTCCACTTTGGGACCGACGCCAACAACGACGTCGGCTCCGTGTGGTATGCCCCAAACGCGGGTGGATCCAGTGAGTGCTGTTTTATAGACACGCATACAGCGGACGGCTGACAGCGCCAGTTTTCACACCCAAGACGTCAGCCAGCGGGCTCGAAGCACATGTTGCGGACGCGAAATACGGTCCCTGCTGATGATGATACACACAAACAATAAGTAAGTAAACGGCACAGAGTAGTGGGTAGATATAGCACAGAATGTAAGTTAGTCGTCGTCGTCATGAACGGAGCCGAAGGCGAGCTTGTTGGCTGGTGTCGGCGGTTCCTCGGCTTCGGCAATGGTATCTTCCAGCCCGAGCCGGCCTTTGCGCAGATTGTCGTCCGCGGACTGGCCGTTGAGAGCCCGCTCAAGGGCTGCGCGGCGGCCGAGATCAGTGATGCGCCACAGCACGCGGACTGAAGCACGCACCTTTTTCTCCCCGTTTCACATGTCGAAGCGAGATGGCTGACTGCAGAGAGTCGATGTACGAGTCGTATTTGACAATCTCTGTCAGCAGGTACTGCGACTTCTTCTCCCAGTTGTTCTGTGCCTTGATAGCGTTCGCACTCCGTGGTTGATACTGCCGACACGTGAGCAACAAGAACAACAGCGAGGACCCATCACCGACGCCACTTACAAGAGCAGCCATCGGCTCGCGGTATTCGTTGTGCTGCTTGAGTTCCCGCTTCATCGATGCCACGTGCTTGCGCAACGCCTCCAGCTGCGTCTCCTCGTCATGCGGGCTGGACACTGTCGGTGGCATCGGTGGCTTCCAGTCGTTGATGGCCGTCCGGTCCGCCCACGGCGAGGCCCGCATCGTGCCCGAATATCCAAACTTGCTGCGCGTGCTCCGGGTGCTACGAACGCTCATGACATCCGACCGGTCGGTCGGCACGTCGGTCTCAGACTGACTATGGGACGAGTCGTCCAGCCGATTCCAGCCATATTCCATGTTGGATACTCCCCCAGCCAGCGGCTCTTTGCTTGTGCGGGCAGCCCAGTAATTGCAGGTCGAGACCCACTCGTTCACGAGCTCCTCAGTGCCGGCCTGGAAAAAGTACACGCCGCCATTAGCTAGAGTGAGCACCATACAATACGGCCGCTGTCGGTTGTAACCAGGAGACGGAAGGGCATGCGCAAGAGAATGAGCGAGCAACACAGTCCCGACTGCTCTGGCATTCGACTGGTAAAACCCCGTCAGCGGCACCAAACTGTAGTCAGTAGCGAACTCACCAGCCAGTTTCCCCCGCCAAATGCCCCAGACGACCCAGGACTGTTGTCCCCAAAGGTGAACATATTCAGCTCTCCCCGCTGGATGACAACGAACACGTCCAGCCACGATTTGTCCTTGGAGCGCTTGCCGACGCTCTCCCAGTATTGTTTTCGGCACAGCATGCCTTCCTTGGCCCAAGGCGCACCGAGCAACGCAAGCTCGGCATCGCTGATGCTGATGCTCGTCGACGTCGAGTCATCGCTATGCTCGCTGCGGTCATCGTCTTCCTGCGCCTCTTTAATGATAGTGTGCGATAGATTCGACGCGAAACCCAGCGTCGGCGTCAAGAACGAGGAGCTCGAATTGTACATGTTCTGGCCGGGCGTCAGCTCGCGCAGACAGAATTCAACAAGCGCACCTCATGTGTCGATGTTGCAAAACTGGGCGACGGACTGCTCCGCCCATCGATGCTGCTGTTGCTGCTATAGGGACTGTTTCCTTGCGCTCCTAGTATCGACTGCAGTCCCCGGATGCTCCCACGCTTCAACGTCGCCAGCCTATCTGGAGGCCCTCGTTGGCTCCGATTCCTGAGCATCGTTCCAGGTCCAAGCCCGGGCGTGCCGACAGAAGACCGACTCGTGTTCAGAGGCTGCAGGATCTGCTGGCTCTTGACCGCATTGTACATCTCCTATAGACTCCACGTCGCAAACATCCTTCTGCAAGCAGACGACACGACACATACCTTGAGCAGATTCTCCATCTCCATCTCCCATCCACGGCCATACACTATGCTCGACACGGATGAACGGGCCTCATGGCCAGATGCCGAAACATGCACAGAGGGCGTGCTTCCATTCGCCGCCGGGTCGTTCATCGCCGCGACAGCAGCAAGCGCGTCCTTGGACACACTGTGCCAACTCGTGATGCTGTCGCTCCGCTTCGAACGCATCGTCGCTGGAGGTGTCGAGTCCATACTCTCCGTCCGTCCGCCTCGCAGACTGATCGAGTCTTGGTCCGTTATTGAAGGCCGGATGGAGATCGTTTGTAGCTGCATCTGAATCGCAGTCAACGTGTTGCGGACAAATTGACTCCTCGACATGCGGGTGGCGAGATCCGCCACGTGCAGGTCAGTGTTCAGTAGCAAAAGGGAGTAGGAGACCGCATGGACGATATCTATGCACGATTAGCGTCTGAATTCAGTCCCGAGATGCTGAAATGTCCAACGTACTTGCGCTGCCATAAGCTCCACCAGGATTGCACTCCCAATACCGTCTGCTGAATTGTTCAAGAATCCGATCCACCTGCTGCGTCTCGGCCTTGAGAAAAAGCTTCGCGCACAAACGACTACCTTCGGGCTCAGCGACTTCTCAGAACGTGTGAAGCTGACACTCACCGAAAAGCCATATCGAGGCGCAGACCCGAGAAATCGAAAAAATCGAGGTAATGGTACAGCGCAACCTTGTTGATACTGGCACTACATGCGAGGTTTAGCCAGAATTGAGAACGAGCGAAAAGCGACTCACACCCCGCCCAGCCACTCAGCAATCTTCTCCTTGCCTAAAAAGTCCTCATCCTCATTCCAACATCGTGTTGCGAGTTCCTTGCCCCGAGCGTCCATTTCCTCAGAGTCTTCGCCCCTTGAAGGAGAGTGGCTGGGTGTCGACGCTCGAGTGAGAGTGAGGTCGTTGATCGACAGATCCTGCTGTGACGTCCGATACAAAGGACCGACTGTGGAGAATGAGCACGAGGCAACCGTCTGTTCCAAACATTACGCACATGCCCGACCATTATCTCCCACAGGAATCAGCGAAGGCTCTGAGACAGACGCGCTGGAGCCATGCAGGATGCGCAGATGGCCTGAACCCCTCCCGCCGTCCGCACCTGGTGATGCGCCAAAGGATTGCCCGCTTCTAGTACGTAGTGGGCTGGCCCTTTGTCTCCCGCCCATCCGAGGACTTGTCAAAGCCCGGGACGGCATCTGGAGAGAAGTCGTTCGAGGAGGCACAATCGCATCGGCATCGTCGGCCTCTGTATCCGACTGGGGTAATTGGAGCGTCAGGAGCGGAGCAGTCGGTCTGGCAGGCTCAGTCTTGGCTCGCTGAGGCATGCTCGTTCGACGAGCAGCGGGCGTAGGCGAGGATGGGTCGCTGAGGTCAAAGTTTGCAGCAGGCGCCAGCTTGGATAACTGGCCTTCGAAGTCGTCTAGGAGCCCGTTGATACCCTCATCCAGCGGTTCATTCCTCCGTGCCGATGTGTTGACTAGTTTCTTCACATCTACTTCGCTGACACTCATGCTCCGTCGTTGGCGTGAGCCAGGGGTGATGGTCGCATTCGAGGCGAGTTGGGCCACAGCAGCGGCAGCGGGAGACGGAGACTGTAGAGAATCCTTTTCAATAATAACAAGGGATTCGTCGTCGCTGTTCTCCCGGTGCGGCATACTTGGCAGCGGCTTCGTTGTATTAGGTGCGGTGCGAGAGGAGCTAGAGAAAACGTCGGCGATGGGGGAACCGACTGGCGTTCGCGAAGATTGCGCTGGAAGACGTGGCACAGGTGGGGTATATGGCGCTTGGGGCGAATAGACCCCGTCGTCTACAGTTTTCTATGTCAATGTCTCGAGTGAGCGGCGGCAGTCAATCAGCTCGTGAAAGATGTCTCGCACCGATCGCTCGCGGACTGTGCCCTGCCCCAACATCTTCCCGAGAAACGCACTCGTTTTGGCACGCACGGATGACTTAGCAGGCTGGGATGGACGGAATGAGTGCTACCATTCAAGGCCTAGATCGAACCACATGCACCTTGTCCGGACCCTCTCCATTCGTGGGTGTCCTTTGCAACTTGTTCTTACCCTTCGATGGCGACACGAACGAATTAGGTAGTGGAGGCGGCTCTTCAAATCTTCGCCGATCCAGGGTATTTTTCACACCCGGTGGGACTACGCCTCCGCGCTCCTTGGCCTTACGCAGGAGTGTAGCGAGGTCAGGGGAGCTAGAAGTCCCCTGTGCACGATACATCGACCGCCTGTTAGTCGGTTCTCTCTCTCGGTTGGAATCGTTGTGCGGTTCTTCAGCGTCATAGAATAATTCTTCACTGGATCTCGTCGGTGACGCGTCCAGCATTCTCCTAGAGCTTGAGCCGCCTTGCATAGGCGATGGCGTTGCTGGAATGACTGTGGGCGTTCCAGGGTGTCTCGATGAATCGAAGGGGAGAGGGGAGTCCGGATAGGCTAGTTGATTGTCGAAAGGTTTCAGGACAGTCGTGCTTTCTGATGCGAGCGCTTTCTCGAAGTCGTCTTCTGTTCGTGATAGACGTTGAGAGGACGATAGCGACGCGTCGGAGGCCGCCACGCGCCTCGCTGGTCCGAGTCGTGAAGCCAGGGTTGGGGGTAGAGAACGAAATCAGGGCGAATTGGATATCTATCACGCGATGGAACAATAATGACAACAGCGATCTTCGAATGCGGGTCATTATTCGTACTAGTACACTCTACAACACTCGTGAAAACAGAGAAGATGTGGTCCTAGATATATAAAACTATCTTCTAGATACTTAAGAAAGGCATAGATTAGACCCTTAATGTGAGGCAGGACCTTGCTGAGAAGTGGAAGTCCGTCGCTGCCGTTTAACAGCTGCGCCAGTGCCTGCACGATTGGCTGCACTGACGCCGGCGGAATTGGAGGAAGAACGGGGACGTGTCGTTGTTGCTGCAATCTTGGGCAAGCCACTAGAACCTGATTTGCGCGACGCACTGCTCGGGGCACCCGAAGCCCGGTTACTGCATGGGTTCAGGACATGTAACCCTGCGAACCATAGCATAAAAACAACTCACCGCTTCTTGATGACATCTGTCTTCAAGGAAAGGGGGCGAACCACTCCATGGAGCTTCTGCACAAGAATGTGAGCAAGTGCTGGAAACATTGTAGGGGATACACACGTAGAATAGGCCACAAGCGTTGCCTGAAATTTCGTCAGTGTCAGACACAGAACAGAGACTGGGGCTTACACAGAGGCTGTCCCTCAGGATCCCGTCGCCACAACGGTGTGTTGGTTGTGTGACAATTCGTGCATAACGTTGGGACGTCTGAATCGTCACCAGCAGAGCCTGGTTTCCGTTCACTGAAGTCTGGCGTGCTAGCAGAGGATCGCACGTTCCCGAGAGTCGGTGATGTGGCTGAGCCGGATTGCTTGCGAGAGTGGGTATCCTGCGCCGGAGCCTTGAGAGGAATGTATTTGCGACCGTTGGACCGTGAGGCCAAAGGTGGAGGACCCTCTATGGATGGAGGTGTGGACGCGTTGGAGACGTTGTGGGACTCTGGCGAAGCATGGTTACTTGAGCCCAGATTGTTCCAACCGTCACTGGATGGACTAGCATGGAGGCTGGGATAACCGCCCTCCGGACCTGACAAGATTTGTGTTGGGTCAACATGAGTGTATGGACTCTGGACCATTCCTGAGCGGCTCGGATCAGGATACACCAATCCCATTAGATGTCTGTAATCGAGGGTCCCATCGTCAGCCAGATTGGTTGCAGTGACTTGGGCATAGCTCTCAGCCATGGCTGCAGAGGCGGCTGCGGCCGCCGCAGAGAGGCCGTCACTGGAGGGCCCGCCCTGCTGCCGCCCAGACGGAGAGAAAATGCCATCGTAAGGCGGATAGGTGAAGTTGAAGGAACTGGACGGGAAAGAGCCCGATTCGAACGGTTCATCGTGTGACATGGTGGGTGACGTTCCATCAATATTGGACGGATCAGCCCGGAGAAGAGTCTCATCGTGGACGTTCTCCGCCCGGCGCTTGGTGCCGATTGTGCCATCAGGGGAGAGCGGTTTCCCGTTCAGCTGGTGGCGCCCACCCACCGCAGCAAAGATGCCTTCTTTGGAAACAGTGTGGTCAAAGCTGGTCTTGCGGACGTGTCGTGGAAAGCCACGCTGATCCGGCGATCGAATGGCGGACGGCATACGGGGCAGCCCGTGGAGCCCAAACGAGGGAAGGGACGACGGGCCGAAGGTGGGGCTACTGAGGTTGGAGATTGGGTGATTGTAAGGCAGCGAGTGCTGCAAATAGCGTGCTTCGAGAGCGGAGGAAGGGTCCAGGCCGTCAGAGTGCGGGTCCTCGAACACAGACGAGAGCTCGTGCGCAAATCCGTGCGGGGGACTCCGTCGACCCGGCACAGGGATCGATGACCCTGGGAGGTGAATCCCCCCAGGCATTCGCGACCTGTCGGAGTACGCAGGAAATGCTAGTCGGCTGTCGTACGGAGGCTGATGATGCGAGCGATCAAACGGCTCCAGTCCTACACGTGAACGGGACCTGCTCGCCGGCGTCCAGTCCATCGTCCGGGAGCGCGACCGGCTCATCGCTCGCCAGTCCATGGGGGCAGCGCTAAGGGCAAGAAGGGGGGCAAGTGAGAAGGGAGGCTAGTACGTATAAGAAGCAAAGGCCTACTCGTCGTCATCCACCCCATCCTGGTTCAGCCCGTCAAATCCTACCACTTGTACTTTCGCTTTCCCCTTGTCGATCCTTCGACCTCGATCCTCGAGCGCTCGCTCAAGAGTAGTTGATTCCGTCTTGATAGAGGCTTCCGTTGAAGGGCTGGGAGTATCCGTGACGGAATCGGTCGCCGCTGTCGGATCCTTGTCTTTCTTCAGCTTCATGGTCATCATTCTCCATGTGATGTTCTCCATGCGCTGGGCGTGGGGGGCAGCCGCCTGGTGGTGATTGTACAATTTCCACATCTTGGTTACCGGGCTTTCCGCGCTATCTCGTTGGATAGCGCCCAGTTCTGGGGAGCCCGATACTCGGGGCGGAGGTGTCGGTGCTGGTTGGGAGAGCATATCGTCGAATATATCAGTGAACTGGGGGCTTTTAGAGCCAATGGGGGAGATGGGGGAGAGAGCAGAATCCGGAGGGTTCTCCAAGGAGGGCGTAGCTGGGTGTGAGCTGACGGGCGACATCCAAAGAGACGGGGGAAGCGGTGGATTAGACCGGTCATAAGCGAAGGTATCGATGCGCGTGTCGACTCGAGTTTCATGTCGTCCATCTAGACGACCATCCGAGCGACCGTCATAGCGATTGGACCCCGGAAATTGGGGAGCAGTCGCACGGGGCACACTAGGTCGGGGAAAGGGTGGGTACTGAGCAGGCCATTGCGACGAGGGTTGGATCACAACATTGGGGCGAGGGTATTGCGGGTAGGTAGGAAGACTGCCAGCGGCAGGAATCATGCCACTGGCGGTCAAGGCAGCAAATGCATCGTCATCGAGGGGGGTTGTAAAGTCGAGTGCGAGCGACGGCGGGGCCAACGGAGCTTGCCGATGTGAGCCTGACGATGACCACGGAATGGCCCGGGTTGGGAAGGAGGTGCGCGAGGACATTCACGGCTCGAGCAACGGAGTCGGCTCAATAACAGCGCTGACGGTGAAGATGAGATGCAGCTCGGAGGCGGCAGGCTGTTTGCTCTGAAGAGTATGAAGTCAAGGCACCAATCAGTTGGTCAAGCAGGTTTGGAGCAAATAAGGCACGGACCGGGCAGTCCGTGATGCCGCGATCTCGATTCTTCCCTACTCACGGAAGCTTTGGTGGTGGACTTGTCAGCTCTCCTTTCGAAAAGAAGGGGTATTTTTGTATTTGAGGCTCTCCAAGCAAGTGCAATGCCACCGCTGCTGTCGGATTCTGAGCTGCTAGGAGCTTTTTTTTTCGCTTACACTTTCAGCCAGGATTTCCAATCAGATAATGTTCCCACACTTGCCAATCGAATATCAACGATCTTTGGCATCTCCCATCTTTTTGGTTCCCTCAACAACTTTCTGACTTCTTTTTGACTCGCTACCTGTCGCTTCGCAAAGGTTTCGCAATGCGGACGGCATAGGGTTCACGAGAAAGGACATGGTCTGTTCTAGGCAACGCAGATCGTGATGCAGAGTTGGGGTCTCAGTGCTACACTGTGACGGTGTCATAGTCATGTCATCAGGTGCATAACACGACGTATCCTCACGTGATCCAGCAGTCACAGTACGAGCTCGTGCAATCTCCTTCCAGGCATCATAAAGACCTATGATCCAAATACAGGCTTTCAGGACGTCTAAATATTCAATTCCATTGAAATTCGACTAATCCATGTCAAAATATCGGGGATCGACTAGCACAGATAGCGTTGAATGTGCCGGCAGCGGTCTACAGAGGGTGGCTGTGCTTTGAAGTGCCGCAGAGATGCCACATGTGTCACACTGGAGTGCCGCAGACTTGTTTGTAGTGCCGCAAGAGGTCCCGCCTAAGTGCCGCAGTGTGCCGTGGAGTCTGCGGCACACTGTTCTGGAGTGCCGCAGGAATGAGATCTCCATTGCTGCCGCCGACGACAATGGCGTCTGGAATAGTCCCGCTGCCTGCGCGGATCATTCCCAGGTCCATCAACGTCTCAGCCGACGTGTTGATCGTCGTTGATGTCGTCGAGATCAATCATGTGGAGTATTCGGAGTGCCGCAGGGGTACCGTGGCAGTGCTCCTGCAGCACTTTCAATGAGCCCTATCACCTTAGGTTTTAAAAGCCTCTTTGTAGTCTAGGAGCTACATACTGAGTGCGCATTTCAAAAACAAGCCACAAAGGCAGGAGATTCCCTGAAAATGGCGCGAATTGGCAGGCTCGAGCGCGCCGCCATCAACGACGAGCACGCTTATGACGTCGGGAACGGTCATCGGAGGCTTCGAGTAAGCATATTCACGTCCTCGAGTCACGGAGTGCCAGGACCCCAGCACATCCGATCGATCCATCGGTCGAAATAGACCATGTCCTTTGTCGTCGACCGTAGACGGCAAACTGGCCTTGTTTCACAACCATCGCTGTGCTTGTTCTTGTCTGCCGCACTTGCTAGAGCAGATCTGTCGCTTTGTGGAAACATAGTGTCTCGTGACGACCCATTCGGATGTATCTGTGTCACATGCGCTTTTCAATTGACTGTGCCCTCCATGCTCCATTCAGCCAGCCAACTAGCGCCTACATACGAGATGGATCGTGCGAGAAACATGCGAGCAACATGCGAGCGCAGAGCATCGCGACGACATCCTACATGATCAAGCACCTGATCATTTCCAGGTTCTAGGCGAGTCTTCGCTTGGCGCTTCCGCAGACGAATTACCCTCTTCTCGGATTCGGAACATTCCGACCTCGCGTGCCACATTCCGAATTCTGGATCCGCTTTAGATGCGCCCGGCTACCGATCGACCACCGCCGTCCAAGCCCGAGTCGTAGTCATGCTTGTCCCTGAAAGGACATCGTCCATGTCAGTCTGATGGCGTTGGATTTCAGAACGCGCTCCTGCGCCAGTGGCCGTCCCAAGCCGTGCAAAATCTAACAGGATGATGTCAGACCCGATTCATTCCAGAATAACTCGTTCTTTGTATAGCATACCATGTCACTAGCTCGCATTTCCATCTGGATCACCACACCGCGTGGCCTCTGCCTCATTTTCAGCCACTTTGGAGTCTGGTGCACATTCGAATCCGGCCAGCATGAGAATCTGTGAGATGGCCGGCCGCCGTCCCCGCCGTCGCGAGCGACGTTTCAAAGTTAATCCGCGGCTTCCAATCTCCTGTGCAGGCTTGAGTGCCCCCAGTGTGCCTTTGAGAACACCGACGGGGAAGACTGCAGAGAACTGAGCCGCCCTCAATACTGGGCGGCACTTTTCGGCACTATCTTGTATCCGAGGGCGCAAAAGCGAAACGAGGAATTTCTACGTGCTCAAAAATCAAGCACGCGCGAGCCAGACATATGACATCCCTGGACATGTGCCGTCAAACTTTCGCAGTCCTGCTCGCAAGTGCATATAGGTTCCAGGCTGCGGTTACGTAAATAAGAACTACGTGATGACATATCATTGCACAGCATCCACAAACACCCATCACTTCAGTTCCAATACTTGCCATGGCGGCTCGGGTTGCGAAATCCGCCGAATCCACTCTCTACCACTTGTCCCCAAAGGGATTTTGGAAGAAATTCCGTGCGTCCTTCGACGCTATACCCGCTGCTCTCTGCTAATGGTGGTCCAGGCGACGTTGTTGCCGTTGACCCCGAGATCTCCAGCGGGCTGCCTCTACCTGACGTCCATCGTTTCCCTCCTCCCGCCTCCCGACCGGAAAAGTACTCAACTCCGGCGACCAAGGGTACATGCTTTTGAATAGATTATTCACTACCAGGGCTCATCCGAACCCCGTGTAGCCTCCGACCCAGCACAAAATCCGTACTGGAAACGCGATGTGCGCCGGCAATATCCTCAACTTTCGGTGGTGACCCAGTCCGAACTGTCTGCTCTGCTTATCGAGCACTCCGCGGCCAAATCGTGCGCGTCAATGTTCTCGGACGTGCCTGACTGACCAACTACATCCACAGAGTGGCTGCCCCGACGGAGGAGAACAAGGGTGTCCCTGCTGAATCGAAACCAGTCGACCTTTCCGTAGCCATCGCGTCCATTGCCAAGGATATCAAGGTCTTCTCCACGTCGAACTTGCCTCCGACTTTACCCACCTCTCGCAAGCGCTGGCATTACGAGGTTGCGCCGAACGCCCCGCACGATCCTCATGGTTACTTCCCCATGTCGCTTTATAAATAGACACTACGTAGAAAGTCGAAATGCATCTAGTTGCGGGAACCCTGTAGCGACCTCAGTCGACATACTGTATACATTTCGGCGTGTGTACTGTGTCATGATTGGCACACTTGACTCAAACCACTAACTTGATTCAGTCATTCATGTCGTCTGTACCACCACCCGCCGCCTCAGGCTCATCTGAGCAGGCACTCTCGGAGGCGTTCGCGAGTGATGAGCGGTAAGTACTGAACGCGACTTTATTGGGCGGCATTGATGGAGAACCTCAGAATTTACCTGGAGAAAAGTACGAACACTTGGCGATATGAGGAAACCGATGGAACGGAGATGGAATACGACACTGTGAAGGGGAAATGGTTCCCACTAGTACGTGTTGTTCTCACGCGCCTTCACGTTCGTTCACCAGGGATCATCAGTTGGGAGAGGAACTACTCCAGCAACAACAAGCTGCGTACTCTGTGGCAGGCGTCGATGAAGAGGTGCGGGTGCCCTTCGCGACCGCAAGGACGAGCGCTCAATGAATGCGTATCTTGCAGGCCCCAGCAGCACCCGTCGCCGCGCGCGAAAACAAGAAGCGCAAGCAGCCTGAAGACTACACGTCCGCGACGCCCCAAGCGGGACCATCCACCAAGCGCGGCAAACCTGAGAAAGAGCGCAAATCGAAAAACACGGCGGTCTATGTCAAGGGACTACCCTTGGACGCGGAGATGGATGAAATCTTGGAACGCTTTTCGAAATGCGGGGTGATCGAAGAGGACGACCAGGGCGAACCTAAGGTGAAAATGTACGCCAAAGACGATGGCAGCTTCAGCGGAGAAGCTCTGGTGGTCTATTTCAAGGAAGATTCGGTGTTCCTGGCCGTCAGCATCCTGGACGATGCGGAACTCAGGATCGGAGACGGATCCACCGTCATGCAGGTGGCCAAAGCAGACTTCGCCCACAAGGCCACGTCCAACGGCACAGCATCTGCGCCTCGCAAAACAGTAGACAAGAAGAGAGCTACCCGACGGATTGGTAAAATGCAGAAGTGAGACTCAACCGTTGTCCGTGGGTGCCTTTACTGATCATCAAACTAAGGAAATTGGAGGAATGGGACGAAGAGGATGGCTTTGGCCCATCCATGGCACCAGAAGACAACTCAAAGGCCGCAAACAAGAACAGCCGGGTTGTCGTCCTGAAGCACATGTTTACGCTCAAAGGGTTGGAGGATGATGCATCGCTGCTGCTTGATCTCAAGGAGGACGTTCGGGAAGAGTGCTCTCTCTTGGGCGAAGTAACGAATGTTGTTTTGTATGATGTGCGTCTCGCCCCAGATGTATTGCTGAGAGAGGACTGACCGTTGCCACAGAAAGAACCCGAGGGTGTAATGACGGTGAAGTTTCGGGATCCCCTTAGTGCTCAAGCTTGTGTGCTGGTGAGTCTCGCAGATGTACCACGCCTGGACCTGTCTCAAGCCTAGCAGAAAATGAACGGACGTTTTTTCGACGGACTGAGGGTGGAGGCTTCTTTGTTCGATGGCCAACAGCGGTTCCAGCGCAGTGGTACTGGCGATGACATTATTGGCGACAGTGATGAGGCAGAAAAAGCTCGGCTGGACAGTTTTGCGCAGTGGTTACTGTCGGAAGGCGATTAGTGTATTCATTATCTACATGCTACCAACAACTGCATAGCGGTTTCCGTGATACAGTCTCGAGGCGCTGCATGATTCGTCAGGGCGAGCCGCGAACAATACCGATCTGGACGCACCTCAACCACAACTGTGCGCTTGGCAGATACACCCGGATGTATCCACTCCGGTGTGGCTGGCATGTGGCTTCCCCAGCGCTGATGGCCCTCGGCGGCAGTCATTGACTTGGACAGCATAGCAACATCTTCCTCTTCGTCCTCGTCCGAAGACGCCGTTTCGGGTACCGTTGGAAGCGGCGGGCTTGACGGCGGCGAGAACGGCGAAGTTGGGACAGGGAGAGAAGGATGGGCAACTGGAGTGCTCGATGATTCCCCGACGTCGACTTCCTCGGATTCGTCGACCCCGAGGTCGCGCAAGCTGGCCTCGACGGCGTCCAAACGCTCCAGGTGCTCCAGCACGAGGATCCCTTGTGTTCCCGGGTGGACGCGTTTGAACCTGGCTGAGAAGGGCACCGGTCGAGGAACGCCGGACGCTTCCGACGACATGCGATGCATCATAGGTGGAGGGAACTCGCTTCCCGAACTCCGGCTTCTCGTTCGCCGGGGGAGAGGCACGCTCGCGATCGAAAGTCTAGGCGAGGAGGGCGCCGGTCTTATTTCCGTCCGTTCGTCGTCGTCGATTTCTATTTCATCGTCCCAAACAAGAACTTTACTTCGCCGGGTCAGCTCCAGTGGGCCTGGTCCCAATAAATTAATTGCATGAGCACAGACAAAGGCATAGCAACAACCTTCGTCCTGTCGATCAGTCAGTACACCACCAGACTTCTGGGTGCTTGACACTTACGTCGTGTCTAAGGCACTGCACAATATTCCAAGCTTGGCCTGCAATGCGATTGAGTAAGAATGCCGGAAAGGATGAGCCCCATGACACCTTTAATAACAGCCAATTGACGCTAGATGGATGATGCATATCGTCAGTGAGACAGTCCTTGACACACTAAAGGGAAGCATCCTACAGCAAACATCTTCGGATGGAAGTCCGGGTCCACGCTGAAGATTTTGAGCAGCTGGAACGTCGTCTCCTCCCACCATTCTGTTGAGGTCAGAAGTGGCAAGAAATGCTTGCGAGTCTTGTCACTGAAAGGTCGGCCGATAACGCTGACCGGAAGATACACTGCAAATAAGGTTCAAGTCGAGAGCAGACCACAAGGACCAACACTCACGCCAGCCTAAGATGAAGGTCAGAATAGTCGAAGATAAGAAAAGACAGTAGACGGGCCATAAGTGTAGTTTCTCCACCCTTGAGGGTGCTCATGGGGAAAGGACAGAGAGTTATCTATAGCAGCGATGTGGATATGAGGCCGTCGGGTATAATCAAGCGGGGCGCCTGGTATACTGCTCGCCGAAGCCGAAGGTCCCATCGACGAGTTTGAGGGCGAAAAATGCACTTGTGGGGATCCGTCCTGGCGAAGCTGGCTCATAGTCGGCATTTGGGGCCGTGCATCTCGAGACGGGGCAACATCCACCAACGACTTTTCGTGCTCAGCCTCGCAGTATTTGATCATGTAATTGTCTGCGCCTGATAAAACATGAGATACTGCGGATCTGCGACTGCTGCAACGAACCTCGGTCGGTGTTCAACATCAGGTAGTCGAGAATGACGAGCCTAACAGGAGTTCAAGCTATCGATAACGCACGGCAAAACTACGCACTTCTCGAGTTCCTCCCGGAACCCTGCCTGGAGCGCCTGACTCCAATAAAACGGCCGAGAGTCGCCCGCCTCGGAAACATCGAACAACCGTTCCTCCTCGTAATCCGGTTCATCGTACAGATCGTCGTCAGCGTCCCCTGTCTTTCCGCACACGACGGACAACGCTCCAGTAAATCGCTTCGACAGGTTGCTCGTTCGATGTGTAGAGTCATCAAATGTGTCGGCGATTGATCGACCAGGCCATGGATGTTTGCGCAAGAATTCAGAAGCGTCTAGGAATCCCACCTTTGAGAACACAAATGGGCGAAGACGCTGGCATGCACTCACCCTGGTACCCGGTGAGAAAGAATTGCATGCTGCCAATCTTGTCTGGCAGCGGTTTGCCCTTCTTGGCAGCACTGCGATCCAGCCAATCATAGAAGAAGGCGGGGCTAGACAGGGAAGCGAGCTGTGTTGGAGGCACGATGTTCAGCTGTAGGCGAGTGTCCAAGAGAGAAGCCGCCGCTATGAGATGTTTGTTTGACTTGCACGATAATTAAGAACGCCATCACCTTCACTGGGCAAGGCTCAGTCGTGCAAATGTGCGTGGCTGACGCAGACGGACCTGATGTACGACAGGTTGGGAATTAAACAAGCACGTCCGAAGGGAATGATCCATCTCAGTTGCCTGTGGAGCCATTTGGTCGTCTTCGGATTAAGGCGACCATAGGGTTCTTCGTCTTTAGGCTTGAATACCCTGTTCTGTGATGTAAGAACCGTTGGTAACAGCCGTCTAGGATTGTTACGCACGCAACAGTATGCACACGACCGTCGGCGGCATTCTTGGCTCGAGCAAAGTAAGATCCGGAGGACCCTTTAACGATCATCTTCGGATGTATCCCTTCTCCAATCGCGCCTGAGAAGGTTAGTTCCGCATAATCAAACTCGTGTTAGGAGCGTACTCTTGACGCTCTGCACTAATCTGGGGCATTGTTGGCTCGGAACAGAGGATGAAGCAGGTTACACACGCGTTGAACTCGGCTTGCGTCATGGGCTCCTTGTGATCCAAGGTCTTGACTGGTTGCTCGGACTCCGTGTCAGGATCAGCGACGGTGGGCTCGAAGACGCTCTGGTATATCTGGCGCTTCGATGGCCCACTCTTGGTCTTCTTGTTCTGAAGCTTGAGCTTCGAGGCTATAGTGGCGGTCCATTGCTTGAACGCAGTGTCGAGGCCAGACAGGTCGACTGAGCCCATCCTTGCTCGCCGGGGACGGCCGCGTGCAGGTGGGGCGTCGGGTGAGGTGTCGCCATCTTCGTCAAGAGCATTGGAATCAGAGGCAGACAGCGGTTCGTAACCTGAACGGTCAGGCATTATGTGGTCTGAGTGCTTGGCACAAGACCAATGAGCGGATGCACGCGTCGAGTCTGTCGCACGTGACGGAATAGGGCACGTGGTTAATCATTACAGAGAAGTGGCTGTGGCATATGACTTCGGACCCCCGATCCCGATACGGACAGAGTTGATCCCAAAGTGGGCTCTAACTAGTGCTTGTTCCGTATGCGGATGATATCTGCATCTCCAATCTGGCATGCGGACGTACTACTCTCGGGTCCGATGTTCCGATCCGGATGCGGACGCACAGGCGCGGGCTCCGGACGCTTACCCCAGAGCCCTCAGTTGATTTTGCCTGCTGCTGTTTGGGGCCAACACCCATTTGATTGACTAGCTGCTTGCAGGATGCCCGAAACTGTGCACCACATTTGGCCAAGTATTGCATACTCAGCAGGGAAACACTCTATTTTCGATCCTCCTCAACATCCACCCTCAAAGTTTCCCAGAAGGCATTGTTCAAGTCCTCAGATAAGATAGAAATATTCGCATCGGAAGAAGATAGAGTTTTCGAATGCAGAATATGGACCGAGCTATTATTTTCAATAGAAGGGCACTGAGAATAACCAATCTGTTGCAGACCTGGTCAACATCGGACTTGCAGCCGAAACGAGACAAAATTCACCAGTGCCGATCCCTAAGCGGACGATTTCTCAGCCAGCACGTGAGGACGGATATGACCGAAAATGGCGATTTCGGTTACTTACGCCACCTGAGATGTGGCAGTGCCTTGATCCGTGACTTGATATTGATCTTTAGCCTACCGTACATCGGTGCTGCTTAAATTCTGCATGCGTTCTCACCTCTGGTCTATTTAAAAGCTAATAACTTGGTGCGTTACCCGAAGGCAGGGAACTAGAGGCTTCTCGGCCTTCTCTGACACGAATCACCCCGACTCATGCCAATAAATAACCGAGTTCCTCTGCATTTCAATATCTAAACCCACACGACTTCACTCCTCCAACACAATGCTCGCATCTCTTCTCTCAGTATCCAAAGGCTTTAGGACCGTTCTGTGCAAGAGACCGGTCGCACCGCAACGGAATTACGCGCTTCAATCGTACCCCAGTCAGGCTCTGGGACAACCCTCAGTCGACGCCTTCCTGGAACCCAACACGTCCACCTGGTGTGTACTGGATTTCTGCACTGAGTATCTAGATGAATGAATGTCAGGCAATACGTGGTTCACGATCCTGTTTCAAAGGACGCAGCCTTGATCGACACCGTTCTGGACTACAATGCAGCCTCTGGCCAGATATCGACCAAGGCGGCCGATGCTATTCTCTCATTTGTCAAGGATCAGGGGCTGCACGTGAAATATATCTTGTGAGCTGACTGAGTCTCTTCGCGCGCTGCGCCGATCGCCCATGCTCTCCGCAGGGAAACCCACGCTCATGCGGATCATCTGTCAGCTGCTCAATACCACAAGAAGATGTTGAACGCTCCTGTGGCCATTGGCTGCCGCATTGGCCAGGTCCAGAGCACTTTCGCGTCGAGATATGGGTTCACTCACCCATATCTTGAGGGGAGTTTCGACATTCTGCTCCAAGACGACGCGACGTTCGACTTGGGATCCCTCGTGTGCAAAGTGGTCCATCTACCCGGTAGGCGGCGTTCTTATTCAGCAGTAGCCAAAGTCACCTGACCATGCACCCACAATCGATTTCTTAGGACACACACCTGACCACATCGGGTATGTTATCGGCGAAGCCATATTCACGGGGGATTCGATCTTCCAGCCTGACGTTGGATCCGCTCGCGTTGACTTCCCAGGTGGCGATGCGAAAGCTCTTTTTTCGGTGGGTCCCTTTCGTCATGCCCACCGCTCTGCCTGAAAGCCTCTCAGACGATCCGTCGCCTGCTGGCATTCCCACCCTCGTATCGGCTGTTTGTGGGACACGACTATCCAGCTGATCGGCCTCATCAATGCGCAAGCACAGTGGAAGAACAGCGTCGCTTGAACAAACATGCCAATGATAAAGTATCCGAGGCCCAATTCACCGAGTTCAGGACCGCGCGTGATCGAGTCCTGGGGGCCCCGACGCTGTTGCATCCCTCCTTGCAAACCAACATCAGAGCCGGGAAGCTGCCGTACTCTGACGCCAGTCCCTTGCACTTCAAAATCCCTGTCACTTCTCCCGTAGATATCTAGCATCGATATCTACACAATCTAATCTAATCCAATATGATCATGTGCTCTAATCCACATCCGCATTAGGCAGAAATCACTTCGCCGGAACGTCTAGGACGGCATTGCTCTCTTCTGCGACCGCTCTCGCTCGGCTGCGATGGGTGTCCTCGGGAAGTTCTCCAATTCGACCAAGAATCTCCTCGCTGGCCGGGATGTGACTCCCCAACAACCCGAACGGCTTCCCCTCGCCGAGGAGGAAGGGATCCAGGAATCGGGACTGGAAACGACGCCTGCTTCCACCAAGGTGGACAGCCCCGTTACGGAGAAAGCAAGCGGACCCAAGCCCCGTCGGCTCTCCTTACGTGTATTCGGCCCGGCGCACAGCAAGCAACCTAAACCTGCGCTGTCCGAAGCTCGGGAACGCGAAAAGAAGGACAAAGCTTCGAGTGCCCTGGCCAAGCGCATATCCAAACCATTGTCCTCCAATGCGGATAAACGCGCAAAAGAATCTGCGCTCATCGTGCGAACATTGATCACTGGTGCCCCTGGAGCTATGGCAAATGGGAGCAAGAAGGCGTCCCATCTAAACCAAGTCAAGTCGGAGGTGCGTCGTCGTCACCGTGGCAACACCTGAACAACGGCGCCTCAACTTCAATGTAGCTCTCTCAGCCCACCTCTGCGAACAGAGTGATTGCACAACTTCGGACGCTCCCTTCGACGGCGCCGGGAACCGCACTTGAGGAAGAGTCGGACGCCAGCAGCCCCGCTGTTCCGATTCACGCTGTATGCCTTGCTCATCCAGACGAGAAGGAGCACGAACTGCACTTTTCCAAGCTGAGCCCCGAAGATCACGACGGGGTATCGCACTACATTCCCAGTATCGCGCTCACGTCCATCGAAACTCTGCAGAACACGTTCAGGGAGATGCATATCGTCGACTTGGTCTCTGACCCAGATCTGGGTCTTGGCCAGCCGGGGGACGGGGATGGGCTACTCGCGGGGGCTCTTCCGACTCCCGAGACGGTGATCAATGGAATCGAGGAGATCACGCCTCAGCTTATGGCGCTGGGCTATGCCACTGGCAAAGCTATGCTTCCGGACCACAAAGGTCAGTGATGAGTTCTTCCTGGTGGTCTTGTCTCGCTCATTTGTGATAGGTGTCCATCCGCCAACGGACCGCATGTCCGTTCTGACGTGTAAGACTGGCCTCTGTTGTGCACACATCCGCAGGCTGAAGATGAAACAGACTGGTGGGGCCTTGAGCTCGTGCTGCCGCCCCCTTCACTTGCGTACTTGAAGAAATCACAGTCCGTCGCAACGGCCCTGGTTAATTTCCTCACCGCTGTCTCTGTGATGAACAAGGGCGTTCGGGAGCTGCTACCGTTCGTTCGGTATATCTCCCAGTTCATTGACTTCGAGTTCTCGACAATCCGTGGCCAAGACAAAGGGATGGGTGTTGTCTGCGCCGCCACCTGGTAGGTTCTTCCCTTCGCCCTAGTCGACCTGTGTCTGAATTACTTCAGGTTGATGCCAGCGGCTCTCGTAAGCTTCCAGTTTGCGCGCATGATTTAATATCCAATTCATTTCAGGTTCCACGGCCATGGGACTTTCCTCCGCCAGAAGTCAAACAAGATGCGAAGCTCGAGATCGAGCCGGTTCCAGGGCAGCCAGAGGCTGCCCTGCCACTGCCGTTATCTTCATCTCCCCGAGCCGCTGTCTCGGAACCCGATCTGACACCTGATCCCGCTCATGCTTCCCGAATGAATCCACCGATTGCTCTCTCTCCCGGTCACAATATGATTCGGACACCGCGCATGGCTATGGCCTGACCACCCGATTACTTATACCCTTCTCTTGACGACGACCACGACTTTCATGATTTAGTATGGCATTAGATACCAGATTACATTCAGGACTACATTGGCAATAACGAGCTACATTCATGACTAGCACACTCACTCATGATGAGCCGCGTGATTACTGTATGGTGACCTCACCATCCGGCTCTGGGGACGATGAGTATGGTCATTCGGGAAGGGGGAGAGAGCCACTGACCGATGAAATCAATGGGGCTGTCGGGATCGGCCTGCAAGGAGCTGAACTTGGCGAAGGTGGTTGGCGATATGGACGCAGCGAATCCCTGCGCGCCGGTGAGCCTGCGAGCCAAGATACCACAGGTATGCACACCTTCATCAGAGTATCGTAGCGGTGGGTGACTTCTCCGCCTGCAGGAGGATCAACACGATTCACCCCACGGGTAGAAGTAAGCGAGTACCATCGTCATTCACGGTCTTGATGAACTCATCGATGGACTCTTGGCTGGCCGTGGGTTTGAACATGATTATATACTCTTGCAGCGCTATCGTCAACAGCGCGCACAGGCTCCAAATGGCCACGACTTACTGCCAGACATGGTCGTAATGGGAGACGGGAGCTGAGATGGATGTATGCTGCGGTGATCTCATCCCCGGCTTTATCGGGGCCCCATTGGGACGAATTTGGAAGGCAGTGCCAAGATCGATACAAAGTCCAAGTTCTACTGCTATGTTCTTACTCTTCATCGCTGTCCTCGTCCTCTTGTTGCAGGAACTACAAGCACTGGATCAGCACGGACAATCAGATTGCCAACGAAACGTACCTGCACAAGGGTCTCGGTGCTCTTCAAAAAGTGTTGTCTACCCTGGGGCTTGGAACCCTTCTGGTGCCAGTAGATAATGGCTTGGTCAGAAATACAGTCCTTGTTATACAGAACCTGCAGTAAATGATGTTAGTTCCGCAGACACTCGGCCGTTACTAAGCTCGCGTGCCTTCAGAATCTGAGGGAAGGCTTTGATAATGCGCGTGTCCTCGTAACAATACACTTGAACGACGTTAATGAGCGCAACTTGCGTCTTGGCACTCTTGCAGAAGGGCTCCAGAATCGGACAGAATTTCTGATGACCCTGGTGAGCGTCGTGCACAGAATGACACAAGGGATGACGAACAGTGACCTCACGCAGCGCCAGCCCTTCAATCTGATCTGGACGAGTGCTCCAGTCCACCGACGACATGAGACCTTGCCACATGCACTGAACCAACTCGTTTTCAGGCAGAGGCGACTCTTCTTGGTGAGTGTTGATTGCGGCTACAATCTGGAGCAGTGGGTCAGCAGAATTTCGAGATGCAAAAGGTGCGCTCTCACCTGTTCCGGCGAATCTTCGCGTTCCAGATGCTCCCGGAGCTCTGTGATGATACTCTCCTTGAGCACAGCGTACTGCCGTTTGGCAAACCACTCCGCCACGGCCGGAAGTCCAGCCTTCTTGAAGTGTTCCTCGAGGTCTTTTCCAGTGCGCTTGTTAGGAGGGAAGAACGCAAGGAGATCCTTGATTCCACCACGCCTGAGGGTCCCCGCAAGATGGTCCATGGACTGATCCGCCAGGTAGGCCCGGAAGATGAGCGTGATCACAGAAACGGAGACCGCTGTTCTAAAATTAATGTGAAACTACCGTGGAAAAGAACCGTAACGTACAATCTTTGATCAAGTGGTCCTTGGTAAGACTTTGCAAGCACGATGCATTGGCGAGTCCCTGAGAAATCAGAAGCCCCATGGTGAGAGCGAGCTTGTCCTTCTGGGGTACCGTCCATCGATGGATGTATTGGAGAAGAGTGGGCAATGCCGACTCCTCTAGGGGTTTCTGAAGATATTTGTATCTGGAGCATATATAAGCGCATGAGTATAACGATTCGGTTAGATCTCACTGACCTCCGAATGAGTTTGTTGAGAACGTCGACATATTTCTTCAGCTCCTCTATCTCGGCCGGCTCCTTAGCGTTGAAGACAGTGAAGGGGCACATCGGCGCGCCGTCGTCGACATAGCTACCGCCTGTCAAATGTTAGCTTGATTGAGAACAAGGAAGTTGATGATGACCTGGCTGAAGAAGGCCTCCGACCAAAAGCAACTCGAATAGAGGTTCTGCATATTTCAAAAACTCGAGGGTGGATCCAGCGGTAACGAGCTTGGCGGCAAAGGAGTCGAAATCTTCGGTTGGAACAGTTTCGAGGTGCTTAAAAAGCTGGTCTCTGAAAACTGGAAGGGTGTGAGTCTTGGATGTGTCAGGGCAAGGGGTTGGACGAACCTGTGGGCTCGTGCTTAGCTTGCGCCTTGACTGCGCCTTTTCTTGCTTTGATACGAACGCCTTGGAGCGATGGCTTGGCACTGGCCGTCTGGGACTGCATATAACAGGTAAGAAGAGTAAGAACCAGTTACTGGTCGGCCTATCGAGAGATGGAAGATGGACGATAGAGCCAAGTTGGGTGGGTGCAGATGGCACGTGCCGTCCAACCATCAGCGTATCGATTTCATGGCGTTTCATTCCTGGATTTGGTATCTCGCATCGTTGCCATCACCAGGACTGCACTTGTGGGCTCCCGCTATGAGCCTTTGAACGCGGACGAGTGTATTCTGACCCTGCGCTTTGTTCCGAATCAAGGATCACACTGCTTTGGCCCTCTTCTTTTGTTCTACCTTTCGTTTATAAGGCCCTGACTACAGCTTGAAACCACAATTTCACCTCCCATTGCATCACTTCCTTCTGCTCCAAATGTCCGCCGCCAAAGCCAGCCATACTATGGCTTTCTCTGACTCTCCCGACGCGCGCTCCAAATCTATAACAACCGCAGAAATTGACACTCATGGTGTATGTGGGATTGCAACGCGTATGCGAACCAGTGCTAACGTTGATCTCAAGGTCCTGAATCGGCACGCAGTACGCCTTTTGCTGAGCTGTTGGCCCCTTATTGACAGCGTTGTAGGAGAAGAACGCCGCATATCAGGTGGGGATCTCCGAGGACAAGGGTTCCCGCCGGACTATGGAGGATGCTCACTCGTTCATCGTCGACTTCGCCGGTGTGCGCGGCCAGGGTTTCTTCGCCGTTTTTGACGGTCACGCCGGGAAACATGCTGCGGAATGGTGTGGGACCTTCTTCCATCAGGTGCGCCACTCCGTCGGCAAGTGGTCCAGTGCGGTCTTCATGTTCACCCCAGTGTCTGTTGTCGGTTATGACGCGAATGAACGGGTTCTCCATCCCGGAGATTATGAACCAAGCTTTCCATGACGTCGACGAGTGCATCTCACGAATGTGCGAGGAGTCACAGGGAAAGATCCACTCTGGCTGCACCGTAGTCACGGCCTTCCTTCGCATTGAGGACGAAAATGGACAGCAGTCTTTCCTCCCAGCGTCCCGCGACTCGGATGACGTGTCGAACATGAGTAGCAGCGAGAGCGTCGGCGGTCCGTCGGGCGATGAGGCCGCCGCCAAGAAAAAGGCGCGGCATTCGCTTACTGGCAGCAAAATCCGGAAGGCATTCAAGAGCCTGGGTGGCTCGCCCTCTCACAAAGCTAACAAATCGCCGAACGTTTCCTCCCCAAGCACACCGCGTTCGCAGTCCCCAGTCCCGATGTCCGGGTCTGCGGAAGGTGCCACCGTTGTCATCCCTCCATCGGCAGCACGGCGTGTGCTGTATACGGCAAACGCCGGCGATGCTCGAGGTGTCCTATGCAGAGGCGGCAAAGCTATCCGGCTGACGTACGATCACAAAGGTTCGGACAAGCAGGAAGCGAAGCGTATCATGGACGCCGGTGGATTTGTCATGAGCGGCCGCGTCAACGGGGTTCTGGCCGTGACCCGAAGTCTGGGGGACTCATCCATGAAAGAGTTTGTTGTCGGAGCGCCATATACAACCGAGACAGAGCTTTGCGACGAAGACGAGTTCCTCATTCTTGCTTGCGATGGGGTGCGTCGTCTTTTCTGACGGTGTTTTCTGGATTGACAGACGCGACAGCTTTGGGATGTGACGACTGATCAAGCTGCCGTGGATCTGATTCACGGCCAAGAGGACGCCCAGGTTGCCAGTCAAATGCTGCTGAAGGACGCGTTGGACAATCACACGTCAGACAACGTCACTGTGCTTGTCGTCAAGTTCAAGCGAGGGTAGGATGTAGTGTTACCGCCACTGTAATAATGCTTGTATAGTCTGTACTGTAAACAGGAAACTCTTATTTTGGCTTTACGGTGACGTCGTCACTTCCCCGCCTCCGCCCGTCACGCTCGCGGATCAGGATCTATTCATTTATGGAAGCACTGCCCCTCAAGATCACACGGGTTCGATCAAGGTCAACACCGAGCCGTGCAATTAACGTGGACGTAGGCAAGCGCACTCACTTCCTGCCATCATGTCTTACGGCGCCCCTCCAGCCCCCTACGCACCCCAGTACTTCTCTGGGCCTACTTCCGATGCCTACCCAACAGATACGAAATCCCCCTACGAAAACGACCGTTTTCGACCCAAGAAACGCATCAATGACCCCATCGTTCTGGCACTTTTTGTAGCTCAAGTGCGTACACGGGAGACTTTGGGACGCGTCGCCGCTCTCTGACCTCGCTCGCAGTTTGTGGGCTTCATCGTCGTCTCAGCGATCGTCATCCAGTCGTGGATAAAGAACAATGGTTTCGGCGGCGGGCTCGGAAAACACCCGACAGGGACCACTGTCACCCTCAACTCGAGCACGGTGTATCTGCTGCTGCTCGTCACCGCTGCGGCGCTTCTCTTGTCGTCCGTATACCTCATGCTCGTCCGCGCCTTCACCAAAGTCATCATGCACATCTCGTTGATCTTGTCAATCTTGTTGAACATGTGAGTCCCGTCCTTCACGAGGCTGTTCGCGTTTTCAACTTCGGAACAGTGGTATATGCGGTGAGATGCGCTCCTTCCCTGTAACTAATGGCAATTGAACATCGCGAAGTTTATTATTGGATCACGAAGTACTATTGTGAGCGCGTCCTGTTGACTCGCAAAACAAGTCCTGATACTTCTTCAAACCAGCTGGTGCTATTATATTCACCATCCTGGCGATTGTGTCTGTTCTATCCTACTGGGGCTTCAAATCTAGAATCCCGCTCGCATCACTGTTGCTGCAAGTCGTGATTGACGTCAGCAAGCACCATACTTCTGTGTATGTCGTCGCCTTTCTGGCACTTTTGGCACAGGCTGGTTTGGCTGTGTGAGTTTTGACTGGCTTCGACTGTCGCTACCGATTCGAATCAAAGTTACAGATGGTTTACGTTCGTCGCTGCTGCGACATATACCAAATGGACGCCCAACAACAACAATCCTTGTAACGAGTGCTCTTTATCAATATTGAGCGTCGCTGATAGCTGCTGTAGCTTGTGCAACCACATCATGCTCCAGCGGAAAGGTGGCTGGCCTCATCTTCTTTGAAACATTTTCGTTCCTGTGGACATCACAAGTGGTCGGCAACGTTGCTCTGGCCACTCTGGCTGGTGGTCCGTAGGGTTTCGTGCGAAGGGGATGTCCGATGCTGACTGCTTTTCACCAGGCCCATACGGTTGCTGGTACTACTTTGGACCTCGCGGAGAGGGCAACATGGCATGAGACATTCTGTATTGTCGATGGGGCCAGAGCTGATGCGCAAAACAGCCAAAGAACCCCACTCTTTCTGCCTTTGGTCGAGCGTCAACGTTATCATTAGGCTCCATCGCATTTGGATCATTGATCGTGACTCTGCTGGATCTGCTCAAAATGCTGCTGCGCTCTGCTCAGAACTCGGCCAATGCTGACGGACATCGTATGCCCCTCTTTGAACGGACTGCGGACTGGGCTGACTACCAACGCAGCTGTGGAGGCGATCTTGGCCTGCTGTGCTTCTTGTTTCGTGGAGATCATCGAGGGCTTGGTGGAGTACTTCAACAGGTCAAAATCTGACGCACAACAGTCTTCTCGGTCTGATCACGCGTCTCCAGATATGCATATATCGAGATAGCCCTGTACGGGAAGCCATACATTCCGGCTGCGAAGAGCGCCTGGCGGTCAGTCCTTCCTCTGGCGGCAATGATGGCGATGCTGACGGCTGATTCTAGGCTTCTTTCCGATCGCGGAGTGTCGGCGATCGTCAATGATTCGCTCGTTGGAATGAGTAGGTCTTCGCGAGTATCTGTTCTTTATGCCATGCTCACTTTTCCAGCGCTCACGTGGGGTGCTTACGCCGTGGGGATGCTCACGTCTTTGTTCTCATATCTTTACCTGCGAAGTAAGCGGTCTGGCGTCGTCGGAACACGCGCTGAGCAATATTTGTGTAGTCACCGCGCCTGGCTATAATGCCAACGGAAACTACACTGCCCCCGTGATCTTGTTTGCGTTTCTAATCGGCATCCAGTGCTGTACGCTTTCCCTTTCTTCTGCCATAGACCTAGTGCTTATGCTCTGCCAAGCTTTGACTGTTTCGTCCTCCATCGAAGCAGGGGTTTCGACCATGTGCGTGCAAGTTCCACCAGCTGTGTCTAGAATGTTCACATATCTGCAGATTCGTTGGCCTGGGCGAGGATCCCCAGGTTCTTGCAGTCAGGGCGCCGGCTCTCTTCGGGGTAAGCGGGCTATTCTGTCATTGAACTTGCTGAGCCAATGTCTTGTCAGATGATTGCGCAAACGTATCCTGACGTGGTCCAGGGTGTTTGAGTGTTTTCTTCATTTTATGCTACTAGTACAGACACTTCGGGTACATCGGGATATGATACATGTTCTCAGCGCCGGCCTTTCTGCTTCTTATCCGGCTTGGGTAATTCAACCGCACGTTGGCAGACAGGACAGCGCCCGGAAACATCAGTCAGCCACGGGTCTAAACATGTTTTCTGGGCAAACACATCGTGGTGAGTCGAGGAACAGTGGACCAACAAGCAAACTCACATGGAACACGTGACCACATTCGAGTAATCGCAAAGGCTGAGCGCCTTCGCCTGCATCCTCCAGCCGCAGAGTGCTCCCAGATTGAGGCTGTGCAACCTCCACAACAGTTTCTGAGGATTGCGGCTGTGATGAAGCCGTGTCCGCAATTCGTTTGGGCTCCTCAAAGTCCATTAAGCAAACAGCGCACGCTGCACGATTCCCCTCGAGGATGACGAAGGGATAGGGCCCCTGCTCCCAGTTCTCCTGCCACGTCCCGGGGATCCCATCCCCAGGGCTGGCTGTTGGCCCAGCTTTGTCGGATGTTTGGTCTCGTTTCCGTCGGAGGAATCTGAAATGATGTTTCCTCGCAGGCGGCTTGGCGGAGAGCTTGGGAGGGTAGGAGTATGCGGACTGGGGGAGCGGAATGCTTCCGGGCAGAGCATCGGGCGGAGGCGGGATGTAAAGAACCAGTGGGATCCGATCAACAACCGAAGCACTGAGTTTTCCGATCTCCGGTCGGATTGGGGGGTTCTGCATCGGATGTCGTCCCAAACACATGAGGAATACATTCCAGAATAACTGCAAAAATTCGGTCAACCAGGGTTGGGCTGCTCAACAAAATACACCCACGAAAACAATTGGCGCGACCACAAAGACGATGAAGCCGAGCAGGATCACCTCCAGCACAACCAGGTACATGATGCAGAGCAGCCCAAACGTCAACCACCAGATGTGGGGCGAAGAATACCGACACGTGTGTACACTGGAATATTCCAGAATGTGGGCTAGAAGGACAGGTCAGATGAGATCAGCGAATACGACAACCGCACCAGTCAGAAACCAGCTCAATGTTATCAGGGACGACAGGATAGAAAGGCTGTCACGTCTGTCAGTAAGACGATGGCACATAGACATGGACATACCGCGAGTAGAGAGCGACGTGCGGCAACGTTACGCCCGTTGCTGCAGGTGTAGTGGACCCGTTGCCAGAGTCCGCTGACGTAACAGCAGTGACAGAGGTGGCTATATTCCCAGCCCCAACGTGTTCAGGATCGCTGGTCTGAACGTGCCTGGAAAAGATGAGGGTGACACCAGAGCACTCCAGGCGGGACTGACGCTTTTACATCTCGTCTCCATCCCCAATACGTTAGACACGACGAGTACACCACTCGCACGATATACAGACAAGCCCAGACACCCAGCGGACGATCGCATGCCTTCCACTCATTCAATCCAGGCACTGGAAGATGTCAGAAACTGCAGTCACATCTTGAGAGTACGTACTGGTTTTGCTCTCAGTATGAGCTGCAACCGAAATAACCGAAATGATGACCACGACCTGAGTTCGTTGGATCATCTCGCTCGGCTAAGAAGGAACACCAACGCACTTGAACGAAACCCCAAACCAAATTGTAGCACATAGATACCAGCTGTTTTCGCGTTCGAGATGCCCCGCGCCCGTAGCCAAAAAACGTCATGATCCGCGTGTAGAGAGGTAGATTGTGAGCCGCCCGCAATGCTGGGAGAACAGGGATTGCAGGCGGCATGGACTCGTGAGATAGTCTGGGATTAGGTTCTAGGAAGACATCATCCAAGGGGTATGGTGTATGTGCCATCGTTGCCGCCGCAGGCGCGGGGCCTTGGGCGCCTACGGGAGATGCTGGAACAGAGTCTTCTTGGGATCCACTGCGCACGACGTCTCGTGCAGTAGACTCAGAAGCTGGGGATGCGTGGAGAACAGCCGGTTCGGGAGTCCTAGGCAAGTCTCCGACTGAACGAGTCCTTCGTAATGCTTCCGCCATCGTGGGATCGAGCGCGTTCTGGGTAGCGCCAATCGATTGCTCAGTGAGCAGTCTTGGATGAGGCTGAAACTGGGAGTAATCCGGTGGGAGCCCACGGCTTCCGATGTAGATGAGCTGAAGGCGGGCACGATGGCCGAAGCGAGGGAGCAAGAACGAGTGGTGATGGGCTGCGACTTGCGTCACAGTAGTTCAAGCATCCGAGCACTGCCACTAGATCTCCTTCTGTTCTCGACCGTTATGGCAGCCTCTTCAGCTGATGTGCGGTCGGCCTTGGAACTGCCCTCCGCCTCCTCTTCACACCTGCAAGCTTCGTCAAAGAAGATTGCAGCACAAACGACGCGCAAACCCGAGGGAATATCTCGCGAATTGTTCTCTCTCATTGGACCCTCAGCGACCACATTAGTCGCACAGCTCGCACAACCGCGTCTCAAGCAGAAACCGAATCTCGGAGGGAACAACAATTCCAAATGGTGCGCCTCCAAATTCTCCTCTCTCAGTCGTAGACAATATGAGTACCAGGGAACTGCGTTCATTCAAAAACGGTGCACGCTCCGACTCTCTTGAGCTTCAGCACTGGGTCAAAGCATCCGATGCGTCCACAGAAGATGGTTCGTCTCGCCGCTCTCAACCATTCCTACGTATTAATGAATGCAGCGTATCAGTTCGTCAAATACAACGTTCAACGCCCGACTTTCGCGTACTCTCTCGATGAATACACACAGCTGTTAGAAGGTAGCTCAATCACGTCTGTGGACACCCGGCCAGCCTATTCATCTCCAACAGATAAAGACTGGACCAAAGAAGAAACAGACTACCTAATGAACATCGTACACGAATACGAAACACGGTGGTATGTCATCCATGACCGGTATGACTATCCGGCAGGCAGCGCACGGTCCATGGAGGTTCGTTGAAATAGCGCATCTTCTGCCGAGCACCACCAACGAATCTCCAGGACCTCAAAGATCGCTACTGTAGCGTCTGTCGAAAACTCATCCGGAATCAACCCTGGGCATCCGACGACGCTAGTAAAAATACGCTCCTAGCTAGCTTCTCATTTGAAAAAGGTGAATTCCATGTCGAGTGTTTTCTTCGCCGTCCATATCAAACGGAACAGATCGCGAAGTACTGCGTAAGAAGTACATCGCCAGCTTGGAAGATCGGACGAAGGAGCAGATTGCCGAAGAAGAAGCCCTGTACATCGAGGTCAAGCGTCTGGAACAAAACGAACGGCGTTTCAAACGCGACCGAGATAATCTTCTCCGTACCCTGGCGGGCATCGAGTCGGGTTTGCCTGACATCGTTGAGGATGAGGTACAACTTGCGCAGCTTCATGCGGACATGAAGTTCAGCAGCCACAACAAGCGGAAAGGGGGGATGAACCTGGACATTGATATCCCCTCGACACCACTTGCGTCTAGCTCGCGAAGGCCGACGATTCCCAAGAACAGCGCCTATGATGCCCAGCATTGCATCACGCGCCAGGACCTGTCCTCATCGTCTGCCAATGTGACAAAAGCTGCACACCAGCCAGCATTCTTGCGCTCTTTCAGAATGCCTTATCCGAAGTCCAACATCGCCCCCAAAGTCACACAGATCCTCACAGAACTGGGTGTCTCTCACACTCGACTGGTTATGCCAACTTTAGCCAACATAACCGCCCTCGAAAATCTGATGGACGCTGCGAGTACCCTGGTGGAGACCAAGAAAGTCGTCGACAAAGTCGACTATGACATCCAGGTGATGAAGAGCCGTCTCGGCATGCAAGAAAGTGCGCCTACGAAAACGGAGGATATGGATGATGCGACGATGGATGTTGACGATGCGGACGGAGAGATTGATGCCGAAGGTGAAGATGGTCGCGCGCAGAGTGTGGTCAGTACAAGGAGTGCTCGCAGTCGAAAGCAGGTGCGTTCTGGGGTTAGCATGCTTTCGTGGTCTGACAGTATTTCAGAGGAGGTCCATGTCCGTCTCGTCGGTCGATACAGTGTCCACTCGTGCTGGTACAAAACGTCAAAGAAGATGAAGACGCTTTTTCATTTTAAATTTGGCTAGATGTGTATTGTACGATAATCCGTGTTAGTGTTGTGCAACGGACGGACGATCCAAGAGGACTGGCTCGCTCAAGGTTGTGTGAAACGCAGGACAAAGTTAACCAGGATGGCGACCAGCAATGCCACGCATAGCACGGTCTAGCAGATCATGAGACTTGAACCCGAATCCCATGGAATGTGTAATCGCACCGGTCCCATTCTGTCGTCATACGGTCCCCGTCCTCCGCGTCTGATTGAAGCTGCGCGCCAGTGATAGACGTACAGTGCGTAAACCATAATCCCCATGGCTAGAAGGTTTCGTTTGAGCTTCCAGTTGAAATGCGAGGAGACGGGCTCACCAATGACGGAAAACATAGCAGCACTAATCTTTCCTACTTTATCCCCAAAGTTGAGGAGTCCTACAGCCAGACCGCCTAGCACAACGGTAAAGTGTAGCCATGATAGAAAAGTGCGCTCATTTGCGAAGGAGACCTTGGGTTCCACGCGGACGGGAAGCGCGATCCTCTTGGCCGCTGTTCTTTGCAAGAGCGGTTGAGTCGACATCGTCGTTCCAATCAGATGGGCGTGACAGTATGTGACTATACAATCTTATCTTATCAGCAGGTAATTAATGATGCATGGGATGACCTAATACAAGGATGGTGCCTAAAAATACAGCAGTAACATATCCATAAATGCTCATAAGATTAACGGTCGGTGATATCTTGCCAGAGTGGGGTCAGAGCCTGCGCGACAGTGTTCGCGGCTGAGAAGAGGTCAGTTCTACGTGCCAAAAGACTCATCAGAAGCTCCCTCACCAATCTCAAGACATTGTCGTTCCGCGTCATCTTGGACCGTTTTGAGGAGGCCACGGGAGCTCCTGATATGCTTAGGACCAATATCGCTCAGAAGGTAACGCACACGCACCATCGGTCTGGATGAAACCGTTTCCGGCTCTTATCGACAAGAGTGATATAGTCTATTCGAGAGCATTTAGCTAAACCCTTGCATGAAGCGATGAGTCAGACAAACCTTTCATTGGTATGAAGCACTTGATAGTGTTGAAAAATGTTTCCACTGTTCGCCAGGAGACGTTTCCGAAAGAGTTGTCTCCTGGGGGATCGATATCCGGCCAGGGAACAACATCGAAAGTCAGCGGCTCGTCAGAAGAGAATCTCGTGCTATCGAAGACTTTGCTGTATGCCTGGTATCGGTCCAGCGCCCGCAGAGGTGACCAAGAGCCATAGGCCCAGCGCTCGTCGCGCTTTCGTCGTTCTCTCTCTCTCTTCGCCCGTTCTTCACGTACTCGAGCCTCTTCCCTCGCTCGAGCTCGCTCTTCCTCCATTCTGGATTGTCGCTCCTGTTCTGCCTTCCGCGCTTCCGCCGCCTGTCGCTCTCGTTCCCGAGCGTTCCTCTTCTCGATCTCATCTTCTCGTTGCCGGTGCTCGCGCAACTTTGCGGCGGCTTGCCACAGTGGTCGGTCAGCCTCGAGTTCAGCCATTTTCCGCCGGGATTCCGCGATCGCAGCAGCTCTTATGCACTCCTCATCTTGCTCGTCCTCGCTATCCTCTTCGTCTGACTCTGAGACGGGGTTCGACATCGCTGAGGGAAACTGAGCTCGAGATAACGATGATCAGAACCAACATACGGTTTGCGTTTGGGACTTCTGCGTATACTCCGTGCATGAAGTTCTGGAATGCTTTCTCAGTTCTGTGCCTCAATTCTTTCGCCCTGCGTTGCCGCTTGTGTTTTTCTCGTTCCAGTCGACGTGTTTCCAGGTCTCGTTTTGTGGCGTTAGGGGAGAACGTTCGAGTGCGCTTGGAGGCTTTCGCCGGGGAATAGTTGGGGGCATTCCGCGTTTCCACTTCTTCGGGTAGTGTCCAGTAGTCAGGATCCTCTTGAGTCTTGAACGAATCAAATAATGAAGCAGCTGCACCAGATCGAGTAAGTAACTGACGGCAGGAAGAGACAGGGGACCAAACCTTTGCGCTTTCCTGTGGCATCTACAGCTGTGTTTTGTGCTTCGGAGTCTATCGGTCCGAAGAAGAACCCAGCTCCCAATTCAGCAGAGAGTTTTTCAACGCGACGGGCACCCTTCTCCCGTCGCTCTTTCCGATTCTTCTCTAAATCCTCTCGGTATCTTTTCCCCAGACGCCCAGGATCCACAGATCGCCAAGGCACATCCAAGCTACCATCGTCGTCAACAATCATCTCCACTTCCGCTTCTTCATCGCTTTCGTGAGCGATGTGGGGCGCTTTGGCAGGTGGCATGTCTGGGTGAGGCTCTGGTGACGACAGGCGGTGTTTGACGCCCGAAGGACGCAGCGGCGGGGCATATTCTGACGGAGGAGGAGCAAGGGTAATCGTCGTCAAAGCGGGAAGGGCTCGGACCAGACAATGGTACGCCGGATCGAGCTTGTAGATGTCCCACTGGTCTTGGGTACATTCCACGACGTCCCTGTGAAGCGTTGGACGCGCTTTACAATATGCTTTATAGAGTACTCACCCGCAAATATCGACAACTCTCGGCCACTGACCCTCATCTGGAACTCCTGGATCGCGTCGCGCGTTGGGGACAAATCGCCAGCATGACTCTCCGGAGGATGTCGTCTCTGCACACAGTGAGTCGTAATACGCGTCTTTTGGATAGTTCTTACCGATGACGATTCGTTTAGGCCTATAGAGTTGCTCGTTTAGCGACAGGGTTCGCAGATCCAACGCATGATGGGAAGAAGCGACGCGAGGATCGAAACTGGCAAACGACAGGCTAGAGGAGAGACGACGGAGAAGACGACCGGGTTGTTGTGGGTCTAGGATGCCGGGAACACATCCAGAGATGCGTCTGCCAACCATGTGCTGCAATTGTTGAAGTGAGAATTAGAGTGCTATTTCAACAACCTATGTTTGGGCCCATCATTGCAACAGCTGCCAATCAATTGTGTGCGCTTGTGAGGGTCATTACAGTCACGTAAGCCACAAATGATACGCAAGATGACATCGATCCAATTCAATGTGACTAGTCGTGACTCTGACTCTTGAGCTACACTATAAAGCATTGCCAGAGGTACTTTAGTGAAGATGACAAGCCTTCTCAAATTCCAGGTCGATCACTGCACTAAATCGCTAGTTCCCCGATCTCATTCGTCGTCAGAGCGAAATTGACGAACAGAGTCGCGAAGCCATCAAACAACACCGCGCCGCAAATCAGGGTCTGACACTGGACAAGGAGAACCATAAACCTGCGTTGATGAAGGGAAAGGGTAAAGACGATGAAGTGGAGGCAGCAATACCAGATGTGGAAGTGAACGCGACAGATTTGGCTGAAATGGAGGAGAAATTCATCGTACTTGGCTCTGGTACATCTCTTTCGTTCGCTGACCGGGTTGAACATAGTCACTTTTGATATCCGATGCTCTTGCGGATCGTGAACGTGCCCGGGACCTGGTTGCATCTCTGATAACATCCCGTTCGGGCGAATACGTGTTACGGATTGGATTGCATCCACCCAGATCTCAGTTATTATCAGACGAACTCGATGACAACCACAATGAATGGACAGGCATCTCCCGCACGGAAGAAGAACTGAAGAACATCAAGAGCAAGTTAAAAGGTGTGGTGGAAGAGATTGGAGGCAAGGTCCATCACTGGTCGATATGTTGCTCATATCCGCCCTCTCACAAATTTTTTTCAGACTTGTGTCTTGTATGAACTGAAGGGTCGCGCCTGCCTGTTGCTGCGGCTTCCTCCGCCCAATGTCACTCTGACTCCGGAGGTTCGATGTGCGGTGGTTGGCAATGTCGACAGCGGGAAATCGACTACTCTCGGGGTCTTGACTCGAGGTACGACACCGTTTCTAGGTTTTCAATTCAGCTCAATAGGTCAATTCAGGTGCACTCGATGATGGCCGGGGCAGCGCACGTGTGGGTCTGTTTCGGCATAAACACGAAATCACCACAGGGCGGACATCGAGTGTTGGTTTCGAGGTGTGTATTCGTGAATTCAATCGAACGAAGTTTTCATGACGAACATCGAGATACTTGGCTTCAATCCTGCTGGCGAGGCCATTCTGCCTAAGACCGCTGGTTCCAACGATCCAGACGTCATACGGCGCGAGAAACTTGGCTGGGAAGAGATTTCCGTCCAAGCCGCCAAGATCGTCTCGTTTATCGGTGAGTTTTTTGAGACACGACATTATAGTAACTGAATCCATCGCCAGATCTCGCTGGTCACGAACGATACCTCAAGACGACTCTGTATGGTCTGACATCTGGAGCTCCGAGCTGTGTGATCCTGATGGTCGGGGCCAATGCTGGTCTGATCGGAATGTCCAAAGAACACCTGGCCATTGCACTGGCTTTGAGCGTGCCTATCGTTGTCTGCATCACCAAGGTAGTAGCTTTTTTCTCTCTCAGTCGACCCTTGCCACTCGGCTGAACTTACTCAGATCGATATGACTCCTCCTAATGTGCTTGCGGAGACCGTCAAACAGGTGGTCAAGATTCTTAAGAGTCCTGGATGCAGGTGTGTATCAGTTGGTGGCACTCAAACCCGAAGCGAACCCGTCTCAGAAAAACCCCTGTGTTCGTCAAGACAGCAGAGGTTGCCGTTGAAGTTTCGACTGGCTTTGGGAAGGACCGGTCAGTCACGTCTGGACCCTTTGTTCCACTTTTGAGCTCATTTCGGATCACGAAGTGTATGCCCCATCTTCATGGTCTCAAACGTTACTGGAGAAGGCTTAGAAAATGCATGTGGCACCTTCCATCAAGGTTCTGGACTTATGTATCCGGTTAGGTCCGAATGTTCCTCAATCTATTACCTTCCAGCGAGGCCGATAGCGATAAGTTTACTTCGCATCAGCCCTTGGAGGTAAGTCATTTGATTTATCCTCCGGGCAGCTATTGACCTCGACCAGTTCTCGGTTACAGAGATCTGGTCTGTCCCATACACTGGGACGGTTGTCAACGGTAGGTAGCCATACCCTCGGAATAGGCTAAGCTGAAAGAGGCAGGCATCGTCAATAGCGGAAGCGTCAGGGCTGGGGACGCTATCGTGTTTGGTCCAGACTCCAACGGCAACTTTCAGAACTCGATTGTCCGGAGCATTCAGCGGAAGCGGTACGAGCAGATCGACATGGGTATGTATTCTACCTAATCCGGTCGTTAGCGCGAACGTTCCATCTGGAGAGGCCGGCCAATGTGTCTCACTGGCTCTAAAACGAGTCAAGCGATCCGACGTTCGCAAGGGCATGGTGATCGTGCACAAGACAGACGTACCGCCACGAGGTGAATCAACAAGGAACTGGGTCTTCCGCTTGAGCTCACGATGTCACAGCCGTACGCCAGTTCGAAGGCCAAGTTTTGATTCTATAGTAAGATGTGTTTTCTGCGAGGCATCGATCGTCTTACTCATCATGCCAGTCACAACACCACTCTCCAGAAGAATTATCAGGCCATGTTGCATTGTGAGGTGCGTTGGACTGGATTGTATTCGGCATCACCAGGGAATTGATTGACGATTGCCTCCAGGCCGTCCGACAGACCGTCAGAATCATCAGCATGGGTGATGCCCAATGTTTACGGACGGGAGACCGTGCGACTGTGCAGTTCGAATTCATCTCGCATCCGGAATACATCAAAGAGGGGATGAAACTTCTCTTCCGGGAGGGCAAGACAAAAGGGCTCGGTGTTATCACCCGCTTGTTATGACACAGGAGCCGATGGGCGTGGCTCTGTTTCCACGAGGCCGTCACGGCACCTGCGCGGCTTCATGTCTGCTTCTGCCGCACTTCTGACAGATGCTGAAGGACGCAAACCAGTGGAGGACCCGGAGAGGGGCGTACTAGGTGCAGACCCTAAGCACAGGAGTCAGAAGCTGTCACGGCTCTGTAACAACAAAACCAAGCTGCTTGCACCCTGTGTGAGGCGACACGGTCGATCGTAAACTGTACAATCTATCTTATCTCTTATCTCGCCTGTTGTATCACGTTTGTACTCTACGTTTGTTTTGGAAATCATATTTCCGCATTTAGTCTCTTGTCTTCATCATGGATCTCCGACAGTCCTATTCTGTGCTCTTCGATCGAGTAGCTTCAAATATCTTGCAGACGAATAAATCGGTTCTACCCTCTTGCTCTCTAGTGCTGCTGTCATCGCACAGCCTGCGCAATGCGCGCTGAGAAGGCGCCCCGCGAGCAGACTGACTGGATTCGGATTCGCACGGCATATGAACGGCTCGTATGTAGAGGGACGCCGCGCCTTGAACGCGCGTGCGTTCGTTTCGCTTTCATCCGCCCCATACCCAATGGCGACCGAAAGTTTAATTGAGGAAGTACGTACTGTGTTCCACCTCGATGGCTTCTGCTGCTTCTGAAACCGAGGCTCTGATGCCACTTACTTAGTAGTGAGCACCACACCATGCGTCGACCCTCTTTCTCTCTGAACCTCATCCTCCTGCCCAGCCGCTAGGATAATGTATCGCCGCCAGGCGAGTTGGGTGGGATCGGTCCACTCTGACTCTCCGTACCCCGGGACACCGTCGTCCCCCCCTTCGCTCCAGGCTCGAGTCCGTGATCTCCTCGCGCGACGTGACTTCTCTGCTCAACCCGCACCACACACAGTACTCTTTGGGACCCGACCCCAATCAGTGGGGCTGCTCTCTGGACGAGGAAGACCCTGACGATGACATCCACGGGACTGGCGCAGCTAGCACGAGGGGCATTGAACGGGATGGCAATGCGATGTCTCTCAGGGGCATGATCAATATCGGGTGTCTGCTGGTGCTCATCGTTGGTCTGCTGGTGCTGTTGTGCGTGTTCTTCGCCCGGCCGTTGCCTAACGCCGTGTGACGTCCGTCAGTATTGGCTATCCCGTGATGTCGTATGCGAGAGACGGCAACGAGCGAGAGGGTTTCAATCTGGCTGGGAGGAACGGTGAGCTCTGGATTCTCTCTCCGCTTCCTGATCGTTGAGGAGAGGACGAGCCACGGGCCAGGTTCGTGCACGAGGATGCAGACTAGTTCCGGGCTCAAATTTGATTGGAGGTGCCGGGTATCCCAGGAAATTGGGCACTCATTGACGCCGATACGCCGGTCGAAGCCTATACGAAAGCTTCGTGGACAGGCCAGGAACATTTGCAATTGGTGATTGGACCGCTTTGCGCCATGGAGAGGAATTTAAAACTCGACAGGTCTTCTCCGACGAATTCAATGTTGATGGGCGCACTTTTTACCCGGGAGATGACCCTTGGTATTTGAGACAGCTTGGAGCGTTGTGCATCATTAAACGCCGTGTTCAGGTGGGAAGCTGTCGATCTGCATTATTGGGTGATGACTCTGTTCGTACGCAATGTGATCTTGTGCTGACTGCCTGCAGGCCACCAACAATTTGGAGGTTCGTGCGTAGTCTGGGCCCCAGCACGCTGTTGACTCGTCCTAAGTGGTACGACCCCGAGGCGATTATAACATCCAACGGGTCTCTTGTAATCACACTCTCCCAAAAGGACACACACAACTTGAATTATCAAGGAGGCATGTAGCAGATTGCTTGAGCGATGTCTCTCCATGACTGATACCCTCGCCAGGGCTTCTTTCGACATGGTAAGAGCTCAGCCATCTTGACAGCTCTCTTGACGACTGCAGGAACAAGTGCGTCTTTCTTCTTGACTCAACGGCTTCGCTAACCCATCGCCAGATTTTGCTTCACTGGAGGTTACGTGGAGGTGAGCGAGAGCCTGTATGCCGTTGTCAGCACTGGAGCTCAAACGATTAAGACCAGTGTCAAGTTACCTGGAGCAAATAATATTGTAGGATTATGGCCTGCGGTGCGTGATGACCCACCCGGTGTTTTCACTTGCATCTCAGTACCTAGGTCTGGACAATGGGCAACCTCGGTCGTGCTGGTTATGGAGCATCACTAGAGGGAATGTGGCCATATACTTATGGTTCGTGACTGCTTCACTCTGCCCGAATCTCATTTGACTAGTCAGACGCATGTGACGTCGGCACCGCTCCAAATCAAACATTAAATCGACAGCCATACGCTGCTACTATCAACGGAGACCACGGAAAAGGCGGGGCCTTGTCCTGGCTTCCTGGACAAAGGCTCAGTCGATGCACGTGCAGCGGCGAGAGCCATCCAGGTCCAGTTCATACCGACGGGACTTTTGTGGGTCAGTGATATCTTCTCAAGTGCAGTCTTCTGCGCTGATCCCGCAGTCTAGGCCGCTCCGCACCTGAAATAGACATCTTTGAGGCCCAAATCACCGGAAAGAAACTAATCGCTCAGGTGTCTCAAAGCGCTCAGTGGGCTCCTTTTGATGCAGTATGTCCATTGTCCAAGCTGTCGGCGCTGTCTAACGGGGATCAGGGCTATCATTGGCAGAACACTTCAGAGAACTTTATCTTGGGGGACCCCTCCATCTCGGGACTGAATAACTTCGTAGGTAGTGCAACTCAGCAGGTCTGTCGTCATCGCCTTTCGGAAGTTTGTGAACTGAGATCTTCCAGGCGACTTCTGTCTTGACAAACACAAACTTGTCGTGTTACGAACAATCACCCGACAGCTGCTTTGCGATCTATGGCTTTGAGGCATGCAATTTCCCGTTGATTGGTGCAGTGCGTTCGGCTCACAACGCGAACAGTATAAGCCGGGGTTCGATGACGGATACATCACCTGGATCGCAAACAACCAGATCTCATGGACAATCAGGTCGGGCGGAGTGGGTCAAGATGATACTGTGCTTATTTCTGCACGGCCAATTCCGTAAGGACTTTCCTACTGCGTGATAGCGCTGACTATGCTCCCAGAATGGAACCGCTCTACCTGCTTGCTAACCTGGGCATGTCTTACAACTTTGGTACTCTTCTGCTACAAATGACGACCCGAATCTCACTCTTCGAAGGGTCTGTTGATTTGGCACACCTCCCCTTCCCGTGCCATCTCCAAATGTATGCTTTTGCGGTCGTCCGACCTTGCTGCGCATCATCTGATCCTTCCACAGCGACTATGTCCGCGTTTATCAGCCCAAGAACGCCATAAATTATGGTTGCAATCCTCACGATTTCCCGACGTCCGACTACATAAACACGTGCGGCTCGGTCTATTCCTCCGCTGGCTCATCCATGCTTACTGGCGTTATCAGATATATTGAAGCGTACACAAACCCAAATCTAACCACGTGGCGAGGAGACTACGGTCAACCTTTCCCCAAATCTAGTTTCCTTGGAGAGTGCTGAGGGGATCATAAGTCACATACACTATAGGACTTGTATATCTTATGGACACTGGAAATGCATAGTCCGGACAGCACGACGACGATGACGTCACCTACTTTATGCCTACCTCCAATCCCCCACCACCATCAACCACGCGCCGAAGCATTGTGCTCACCACCGCTTTTCTCCTCCTTTCTCTCATCTGCGCACTTGGGATCAATCGATTCCCGCGCATATCACTCACCGATCTCATCCGACTCGACTCGAGCCTCTACAGCAGCGAAATGTCGCACCAAGGAAAACACACTGTCGGCTAGTACGTCTTGTTCTTCATCCGCAGCTTGCAAGCCATAATTCGTAGTATTCATCAGTTTCGTGAACTGGTACTGCCTTTCCAGCCATCTCTGCGCGTGTATCGACCTCAGTATCTTTGAAGGGGTATCTACGGGAGAAAGTACCCGCCTTCGCTAATCCCGACGGATCTCACGTACGACTCAATACTATCTGCGCAATACGTCTGCAGCATGCTTATTACCGCAAAGCCACGTCTTGTATGCGTTTGCCAACATCAAAGCTGACACGGGCGAGGTCTTCCTGTCCGACGACTGGGCGGACAAGGATATTCACTACCCCGGAGATTCTTGGGAGGACAGTGGTGACAACCTGTACGGTGCGCGCTCATAATTTTGTTCCCTGCTTAATGTTTCTGAATCTGCCGGCCTCTAGGGAACTTCAAAGCGCTGTACAATCTCAAGAAACAACACCGACACATGAAAATACTGCTTTCGATCGGTGGGTGGACATACAGCCCGCAGTTCCATCCGGTGGTCGTTTCGCCTGCGCTGCGAGCCCGATTCGTCCAATCCTCGATCAAGTTGCTCGAAGATTTCGGGCTGGATGGGCTGGACGTAGACTACGAATATCCATCCAACCACGAACAAGCCGAGGGCTACACTGCACTACTGCGCGAGCTCAGACATGGGCTGGATCACCATGCGCGTAGCAAGGGCGCAGACTACAGGTTCCTTTTGACGGTGCGTGGACCATGACCATGTGGTAAATAATACACACTGAATGGGAGCCAGTAGATCGCCGCTCCGTGCGGACCAGACCAGTACCAGAAGCTGCACATTCACGAGATGAACAAGTATCTCGATTTCTGGAATCTGATGGCGTACGATTTCTGTGAGAGCGCCCAAACATGCCTGCGGTGGATGGACTGGTCTGAAATCGTGTTGCAGCTGGGTCGTGGGACAGCGTCGCAAACCATCAAGCTAACGTGTTTGGCGGAAAGACAAGTGTGTCCACTGCGGTGAACTGGTACATCTCCCAGGGTGAGCGAGGGTTGATTTGGTCACTCTCCGACTGACTGGGGCCGAGGCGTTCAACGACCGAAGATCATTGTCGGCATCCCGCTGTACGGTCGATCGTTTATGAACACTGAGGGGCCCGGCCAGCCATATTCGGGGTCAGTCGGCAACCCGTCCAAACGCAGTTGACTTGGTTGACATCGCTGCAGCGTTGGACCCGGAAGCTGGGAACAAGGCGTCTACGACTACCGAGCACTGCCCCTACCCGGGACCCACGTGTTCCGGGACCAGAACCTCCTCGCTAGCTGGGCGTATAACTACCAAACCAAGGAGCTCATCTCCTACGATAGCGACGAGGTGGGCCACTGGAAGGGCGAGTGGATCAAGCACGAGGGTCTCGGCGGAGCCATGTTCTGGGAGCTTTCCAGTGACAAAGGCAGCGCCAGAGACGGGATGGAAGGAGGACCCGGCAAAGACGCTCAGCCGGGGCCTAGTCTCGTCCGCGTGGTCCAAAATGCCATGGGCCCGGGCGATCGCGGGCACAATTGGCTCAGATACGAAGGCAGCCGATTCCAAAATATGAGGAACGGGATGCAGTAGACGGACTGTCGAGCGTGTATACAGGTAATTTACAATGTTGATAAGTATGGAAAACAGGCTTCGCCGTTATCAACCTGAAATGGGCTGATAGGCCCTGTTGCCAGCAGCCCATCGCTTGCCTCTGTCGGCCGCGAGTCCAGTGGTGATGGTCGAGATGGTGGCTGGCCATCGGGTTAGATTTCGAAGAAATTCGGAAGGCGAATTACGAACCGAGGACACTCAACACCCACGACACTCCGATGAGAGCAAGGCCTGGACCTGGATCCAGGTCAGAATGCGACCCAGCCTCGAGGGAGAGAACTCACCGAACTTGCTATGATCGAATGTTGGGTACTCCTTGGTCCGAACCAGATCAATAATAAGCCCAAAGGCCACCAGTTGGAATGCAGCATGAAAGGCCGAGACTCCGGCAACGACGCGCCAGATGCGGCGTCTGCGAGAGTGCGTCGAGACGCCGATAAGGATGGCCACCAAGGCCAGCGCCCCGAAACCGATAGCTAGTTCAACCGCGTAACCCGCGCTGGTAGCAAGATCGGTTTGTGTGTGTCAAGACGGCCTGAAAGTCGGGTCTGCCTACCTTGTCCATGCCGCACAGAAATACTGATTCTCCTTGCAATTGTCCTCCTGTTTCAAGGGGAACTTGCGGCACTCGAATTCAGCGGGTTTGCCGACTGGGACCTGCAAGCGGGAGCACGTCCTGGTCAGTCCGTACTTGGCGTCGTAAGTGGTGTCGAGAGGGTCGATAGTGTATCGCGCGGTCACCCTGGCCGACGAGATAAACGCGGGAGCACGGCCGTCAGGGAAGAGTAGTGACTTGCCAGTCGACCCGCGTTAGAGCAATGCTTGCGAGGATAATGGTCGTGGCGATAGTCAGTCCATTCAGGAAGTACGAGGTCTTGCGCATGATGGAACTTGTGGTGGTAGCAGGCAAGAGCGGCCGCGCAGCGCAACAATGCGTCTGAGAAATGAGCACTGATGTGACGTCATGAAATTGTTCTAGGTGAGCTAGTTTGGCCGTAGGTCAGAACTGCAGAGGTTCTCGCTGTTTCACTTGCACAGGGGATGAACGGAGATGTCCGGTCCCCATGGCACGGGTCAAAATTCGACAGTCGCGTGTTCGATGCGCACTACAGCCACTTTTTATAATATTCATTATTCTCCAGCATTCTCTCATTTCTTCCCTGGTGGTTCTCCCTAGTTAGAGCCGTAAGACTCCAAGCGACAAGTGTTATGCAAGAATATTTACGATCGGGTCTCGCTTTCCCACGATTGCCCAAGCGCGAATCAAATCACTCCACCTGCTCGGCTGGCACTTCCAAAATTAGATCCTGTCACCTCACTCTCGTCTCTTCTCTTCACTTTTCTCTTTCCAAACCACCCGCCCACCCCGTCATGCGCAGTCTATCCACCACAGTCACTCTTTTGTCCCTCTCCGCCACTGCCCTTGCTGGCAGCTCATGCATAGCATTCGACACTACATGGAACTTGCTTGCCTTTGGTTTCAATGGCAAAGACTTTAATGCTGGAACATCCACGTCTTGGTCGTCTGGTAGGACTCGCTTTCCCTCTCGCAGTGAAGCGCTCAAACGCCCTCTCTCTCCAGGGTCTGCCACTGACATCACCGCCACTGGTCGACCGTATGTCATTAGTTCTCACTCACCTCACGTCCCTATTGACAACCCTGCAGACCATTCAATGGCAATAACACCAAATGTTACTTGGCAGAGGTAACTACCGCTTGGAGCTCTTGCGTTCAGCTGCTCATCAAGCTACAGTTCTTCAACGCTATCTACGTCCTTGGCGCCGACACATCGAAGCCGTCTGACATCTACATCTACGACGCTTCAGCCAAAAGCTGGTCAACGCAAACTATCACTGGTGGCCCCGACATGACCAACTATGAGGCCATTCTGGATCACGATACCAACGTCTTCTGTGCGTCACACATGCTTTGAACCTTGAGGCTGTACTAGTAACTCACTCACCGCCCAGATGCGTTGTCAAAGGGTGAAACGTTTTCGCTTGACATGGCGTCTCTCAAGGCCGCGCAATCGTCGTCGATCGCATGGATAGACCAAGGCCCCGCCGGAATCACGACGACGAATTACGATCCGGTCATGGCCATCGCTCAAAACCACATCTACCTGTTCGGTGTTCCGAATGTGCCTGCTGGCAACGCGGCTATTTTCGTCATCCACTGCAAGTCATGCCTGATTTGGTTGGGCCACTCATCTCATCTTATGAACAGTTGCATTCTGGCAGCCAGGGTCCCAATCGTACAACGGGAACTTCCCAGACACGCATGGACAGGCGACCAGCTTCTTCTTGGATTCGGTTGTATGTGACAGCGCCCGTCCCATGGATCTGTATGCTCAATGGGATCTGTATCTAGGTCCAAGAGAACATCGCTTTCATTCCGGATGATGGATCCGCGACGTACATCGTCAATGTGCAGGTGAGAAACATGTCTCTACTTTCTTTGTTTTGCTGAACCATTATATTTTGCCAGTTCAACACGACCAACACCATGGCCGGTCCTTCTACTGTCGACTCGAAGGCAGTGTACTTCGCCTCGGAGACCGCCCTGGTTCAGCTCGCTTCCTCGGGGGCCGTTTCCTGGATTCCTTACAACCCGACGGATGCCTCGGCCAACTCGGCCGCCAAATGGAGCACCGTTCAGAACCTGGCAGCTGTTGCTCCCGCCGGCAGCGGCTCGTCTGCTAGTTCGTCGGCGTCGGGCGGCAGTGCGTCGACGCCTGCCGCTGGTTCGCCGGCATCTCAGACTGCCGGCGCTGCGTCGAAGGGTGCCAGCGCCTCTGCCACCGGATCAGCGAGTCAGCCGTCGGGTAGCAGTGCTGCGTCCCGATCCGTCATTGTCAGCTCCGGGAGTGTGCTGGGCATGATTGCTGTTGCGTTGTCGTTGTTTTGAGAGTTGTTTTCTTTGCATGGTACATTCATAGGACTAGCATACACCATGGACCACGTGTCTATCCCCAGGACTATCATATCACTCTGAAGCTATAATTATTGTCCACTGGGGAACTGCCAGTTACATTACGTCATCTATCATCTACTCACGCCGTCTACCATCTGGCTTGAGATCGGTCAGTCTCCCTCGTTCTCTTTTCCTACCATGTTGCGCCGGACGAACACTGGTACACGCTTCCTTGCGCGCTCTCTCGCGACTGCTTCGACCAAAAGGTGGGCCGTCTACTCCTCTTGAGAGACCTGCCTGACGTTTCCAGTCCGACAGGTATGCGAACCGCTCATTTCACGCGACCCATGTATGAATTCTATCTTGCAAGCCGTGGTAATGATGAATATGGGTGGTCCTGAGACGGTAAACTATATGCCAGCCTTTTCGCACGTGGCTGGACAGCTTCCAGGTCCCAGAAACGCAGGATTTCCTCAAAAATCTGTTCTCTGATGGAGACCTTATTCCCCTGCCTTTTCAACGTTTCCTGGCGCCGTGGATCGCTCGACGCCGCACGCCCCAAATCGAAAAGCAGTACACGGATATCGGAGGAGGCTCGCCCATCCTGCGTTACACGCGGCTGCAGGGAGAGGGCATGGCGCGTTTGCTCGATGAACTACATCCCGCAACGGCACCGCACAAGGCCTATGTCGCCTTCAGGTATGTGCGGCCTATGACGACCGAGCTGGCGAGTCAGATGAAAGCCGACGGTGTCAAACGGGCCATCGCCTTCACGCAATACCCGCAATACAGCTGCAGCACCACCGGCAGTAGCTTGAACGAGTTGTACCGGAAGAACAAGTCAGGAGATCTGGATCCGGAGATAGAATGGAGTGTCATTGACCGGTGGGGGACACACCCTGGGTTCATCGAGGTGCGTCGGTGCAGTTACAGTTCACTCCCTCAAGTATTAATTCGTTGGGCAGGCGGTAGCGCAGAACATCGAGAAAGCTCTCGCCAAGTTTCCTGCCGGGACGCGCGATGAGACCGTCATTCTCTTCTCCGCACACTCACTCCCGATGTCCGTCGTGAACCGTGGCGATCCGTACGTGCTTGAGGTCTCCGCGTCAGTGTCGGCTGTCATGGACCGTCTCAAGCACACGAATCCATACCGTCTCGTCTGGCAGTCCCAAGTAGGGCCTTCGGCGTGGATGGGCATGCAAACGGGCGATGCTATCAAAGGTCTGGCTCGACTGGGGAAGAAGCAGCTTGTGATCGTACCCATCGCCTTCACGAGCGACCACATCGAAACCCTGTTCGAAATCGACCTCGAGTACGCCAAGGAGGCGCGAGAAGTATGTCTCCCGATTCCGTCTTTCTGCACACGCGCTGATTGGCTCTAGTTGGGCATTGAGGTTCACCGCGCGGATTCTCTCAACGACTCTCCGGTCTTCATTCGCGCGCTGGCGGATATCACGGTCGAGCATCTTCGCGGATACTCGGCAAATGGCCGGCCCGCAAGTGTGCAGCTCGGGCTCAGATGTCCCGGATGCACCAACGCGACGTGTCATCAGCAGAAGTTGTGGCTGGCCCGGGGCGGGCGATAGTAGTCGTGCGAGATTTGTCGTCGCGTACGTAAGCAATTATATTACATGGTGCTAGTACTGTAGGCCCGGACGCGACGCGTCGTACATGACTAATCAATCACTACTTGATCGCACTTGATTCCGACACGATGAGTTCCACTGTGGTTTCTTGTCCTGGCAAAGTCCTGATCGCAGGCGGCTATCTTGTCCTCGATCGCGCCTATGCCGGGGTGGTCGTCTCTACGTCGTCGCGATTCTACACCGTCATCGAGAATGCAAGCAGTGATCGTCCTCTCATAACTGTCCGATCCCCTCAATTCCTGAACGCGACGTGGATATACACCGTGTCACTGGAGCCTTCCGTTTCTGTGCAACCGGCCGAGCAAAAGTATGACATTCTTAACAACATCTGGAGGACGCGTCATGACCTCACGCCTATAGCGAGAGCAAGAACAAGTTCGTGCATCTTGCGCTGCAGAATATCTTGGCCATCGCATCCGAGCTGAAGGGAATCGATCATGTGAAGCGGGCTATATCATCCGGGATCGACATTTCAATAGTGGGGGACAATGATTTCTACTCGCAAAGAGCCCAGGTTATTGCTGCTCTCTCTCGCAGACCCATTCATAACGCATTCAACGTTCTCCCAGCTAGCCTCCCGCGGCCTCCCTCGGACACTCTCCTCGCTCGCCAAGATCCCGCCCTTCGTGCCGACGGGTGTGGCCCTCTCCGATGTACACAAAACCGGGCTCGGCTCGTCCGCTGCCCTGATCACCTCGCTCGTGTCCTCGCTGCTGGTACACCTCTCCGTCATCTCCCCGGCGGATCTGGATGACACCGACACCCTCAGCCAGGGCCGGGGCAGGCGGCTCGCGCACAATCTCGCGCAATACATCCACTGCCTGGCCCAGGGCAAGGTGGGCAGCGGGTTCGACGTGTCCGCCGCGGTCTTTGGGAGCCACATCTACACCCGCTTCGACCCCGTGGTGCTCCAGACAGCGATGTCCGACGGTTATGTGAGTTTCTGGGTTCTCGAGCCGGTGGTTGCGTTGCTGAGGGGTGGCTTAGTCCGGCTCGTTACTACCGGTTGTGTCCCCCACCAACGAGGCTTGGAACTACGAGATTGGGCAGTTCCAGCTTCCCCCTCTTACCCGGATGATGCTTGCAGATGTCGATGCTGGGAGTGACACCCCATCCCTGGTGGGCAAAGTGTTGAAGTGGAGGAAGGAGGACAGCGCCACTTGTAAGTTGTTCGGCGTGTTCGTCGTCCCCAGTCGCTTGACAGAATCTGTAGCTCACACCCTCTGGACTGCCCTCGATATCCTCAACCAATCTCTGGCGCGGACCCTTCTCAAGCTCAGAGATCAATATGCCGAGAACAAAAGTGCATACACGCACACTCTGGCATTGCTCGCCAGTTCTCCCTCGTCTCAGGTGGTCAATTTTAGCAGGGATCGACGATGGCTCTGATGTGCGTTTCGCAGTGGGGCACTCTCGTAGGTTCGGATGGGCCGATTGTCTCTACATTCCAGGAGGTGCACAGGATATCCGAGGTGCGGATCATCTATTGGCTGCCAGTGAGGATGCTGGTCCCAACTCTCTCTCTCTGACAGGGCATTCGGGAAAAGATGAGAGAAATGGGGACGCTCGCGGGGGTTCCGATCGAGCCCATCGAGCAGACCAGACTCCTCGATCTGTGCATCTCGCAGCCTGGAGTTATCGCAGGTGGTGTTCCCGGAGGTCCGTGTGTTTTCTGGAATCCATTTCGAAGGAAAGCGACACTGACCGATCTCAGCGGGTGGCTACGACGCTCTGTGGCTGCTTGTTTGTGACCCCGAGACTGCAGAACAGCACCCTGCGCGCACAGTGGAATCTGTTTGGAGCACCTACTCTGCACTCGATGTCTCGCCGCTGTCTGCCGAAGAAAGCACGGCCAAAGGCGCTCGGATTGAGCAGCTTGACGCCATCCCCGGGTTAAGCAAAGCAATTGCGCATTAATACAAGTGGTTATCTAGATACAGATTTTAGCGCTACCTTCTGTAGTCCATGTTTTTCCGAGTGCGAGATAGAGCGAGATCAGCATAACAACGACACCGAACACAGCACAGACGACAGCGGGCAGTTTCGACCGGCTGTACCACGGCGATCTGCTCTCGGTCAGCTTGAGATAGCAGCTGGCAGGGAATATAAACGCCAGGGCAGTGGCAGAGACTCCGCCCGTGATCTCAAGCATGACACCCAGATCGCATGTGATCAGGGAAACTGGCAACAGGTCAACAATCAACCGCAAGCGATTCGCTCCAGCCAAGACTCACGCAGCATCGAGGAAAACAGGATTGTCGTCGTGAAGAATATATGCCTTTGCATGTTGAAACTCTCGTGCGAGAAAAAGTACTGCTCGATAACCTGAGGAATATTAGCAACAAGCCGGTTCAGAGAGGAAAGGAGAATCACCTCTCGGCACACGAACAGCTCAAGCGGCAGCGTCGTGAACATGTTGAGGCCGAAGCAGAAGCGTGCAACGTTGATGAGCGTGTCGTCCTGCAAGGTTTGGGTCATAGATCGGGATGCAGAGCTGATGGACATACTCGGGCAAAGTTGTTCAGGATATTTCCCTGGGTTTTGTCTGTGAAGACAATGTAGCCCGATATGGCCAACGTGCAGCATGCCACAAGAGACAGTAGCGTCGAAACGTGGGTGACAAGGTAGAAACGATCGAGGGTGGGGGTCTGCAAGCTCCCGTAGATGAGAAGAGAATTGTGATGGCAGACTGGATGTTCAGGTCAGCGGCGCTTCGAGCAGAAAGAGGCCCAGTGCTGACCAAATGCAAAGCTGATAACCCCGATAGCCTGGAAGATACCTGGCTCGATAATCGAGAACCGTTTCGCAGGGTCTCCTCGCAATTCAGGTGTGACGTTCGGACTTTCGATCATGACCGACGCAACGATGATCACCATCCCGATCAATGCCAGCCCCGAAGCTCTGGACAGTTTATGTATGTCGCGGTAGAGTGAAAGGGGATAGGACACGCCAATGGTGCACAAGGAAATGATAAAGTTGCGATTGACGAAGAGATTCAAAACGGGTACCGAGTACAGTTCAGGGAATATCGAACGAATGACGTGTGGTATCGTGTCGCCTATGATGATCCCGAACGCACACATTCCTGGTTGTCGTTTGAGGGCGCGCGTTACTGGACGTGGAGAACGACATACCGCCGAATGCGAAAGCGAACTGGAAGAAGGAGACCGCTGCGCGACCACTGGAGCCGAAGCAGTGGGTCATAATGTCGATGTACGAGTGAGTGCCGCTCATTTTCGCATTGACGACGATTAGCCGGATAGTCCAGTCTGTCACTCCGCACAGCACGACCAACAGAAACAAGCCCGTGAAGAATCCGGCTTGGCTGACAGCATATGGGAGACCTATGGTCCTTGAGACAACATATTGCTTCCAGAATGAAATGCGCACCAATGATTCCTGGATGAGAAGACGTCACACGATGTCCTCAAAAGAGTTCCAGTTCTGACGCACCGGCACCAAGGATCGAGTTGGCCATATTGGCTATTGAATCGAGCAGTCCACCACCGGCCAAACGCTTCGCAGCCAGCTCCTCCAGGTCTTCGGTCTCCACCGACGACGGCAGCATCTCGCCATTCTGTGCCAGCAGCGGAACGGACACGTCAACCGGACCACGAGAGCGAGTCGAATCGAACAGCCCCACGATGAGAGGCATGGAACGGCCCGCCGGCCTAGACGGCAGCTCATCCTCGTCGATCTCATCCGTGTCTTGCTCGAATTCTGTTCGGCGTGGGTGACCAACGAATGAACGTCTAACCGGGACGGCACCTGTTTCCCGACTGGAAGTCATGGAGCGAAGGGACGGTGGTATGACGCGGGCATCGTCCTCGAGCCGGGCAGCCGGTTCGTGTAGGTCCTCCGAGCCCGGGTCCCGCTCTTCATCAGAATCCAGCTGAAAGAGGGTGCTGTCGTCGGAGCCATTCTCTTGTTGCAGAAGGGGCTCGTATGTTCCTGAAGTCCGCTGACCCCGTAAACCAAACATGAGAGGGCGGAAGGCGAGCCAAGGTTGCTTGAAGCAGATTCAAACAATCTTTGAAGCAAGCAGGTTTGGAGAACGAAGAGAGGAAAGTGGATCCCGAATTTGGAAACAAAGCTCTGACAAATGTGTGTGACGTAACGCGAACCTAACTAAAATAACTTGGTCCTACCCATCTTCGGCCTGTAGTCTCCGCGAGACAGGTCTTTGTCCTTGAGCATGGTCTCCTCTATTATTCTTCTACTCTTGCCGGCTACTCTCGTTGTTGCGGACAACCTTACACCTCAAAGCATTGCCTCGCAATTCAGTCTGACAACGAGGCAAGCTGCGCTCGAAACCTCGGCTAGAGGCGTGCCAATAATGATCCAATCTCACAGCACCGTCTTGCCCTTCCCCACCGCTACGCTGAGCAGCACTGATGCAGAATGTAACGCTTATTAGCCTCCATCATTCTCGCAACCGGCAAATTTTGATCTATGGACAGCTTTGCTGGTTTCCCAATGGTCTCTGGACAAAGACCGTCTGCAGAACGGGGCCGAAGATCTCTCATTCGTAGACGATCCGTTCCCCAACAATCCTGCACCGGGCGTTTCCTCGAGCTCCGGTCCTGTGCTGCAGGTGACATACCCTGCTGGCAGCTTCTCCGGTGCAACGGGCGGTGCTCAATTTTACAATATATGGCAAACGACCAATTCCAGTGGCTTCCAGTCGATGCTGCTGACATACGAAGTGGCCTTTGATGCGGGCTTTGACTGGGTCAAAGGCGGCAAACTGCCTGGACTACGAGGGGGCACCAATGCGACGGGATGCAGTGGAGGACAGCAGTCGGATGGGCTGAGTTGTTTTAGTTCCCGACTCATGTGGAGACCCAACGGTGCTGGAGAAGGCATGTGATAAACAGTTCATCCCCAGCTTGCAGTCTGACACCTAAAAGTTTATGCTTACATTCCCGAACCTAACAACCTCTGCTCCGAGAAGTCCATCACGTGCAACTCTGACTTTGGGATATCCATTTCTCGGGATCGTTCACTTTCACAAGCGGAGCGTGCGTCCTTGACGAATTTCTATTTCCGTTCGTTGTATCCTGACCCGAAATAGCTGGAATCAGGTCACGCTTCTGGTGCAGTTGAACAATCCCATCAATGTGGCGAATGGGAATATCGAATTATAGTGAGTGTCCAGGGATTTCGAAAGAAATTGACTCTGATCTGTATGCAGTCTGAACGGAGTCAAAGCCTTGGCACAGCAGGACCTGCAGATCCGGGCGGCCAACAGCGTCACGGCTGGGGGCATGTACTTTTCGTACGTCAGATCGCTTACTTGACGAGCAGAATTGTTCATACGCCGCTTGCAGCACCTTTTTCGGGGGCTCAGACTCGAGCTGGTCGACTCCGACGACGACCCACACCTATTTCCGCAACTTCCAGTTGTTTGGAGGCTACAACCCGTCGACTTTGACCGGTGCAACCGTCAAAAGTTCGGCGTCCCGGTGTGTGCCAGGTTTCAGCACTCTCTTAGTTATATGTTCCGGACTATTCATATTTGTATTGTAATCACGATTCGTTTGAATGCATGCGACGCGGACATTTCACTTACTTACCACACACATGAAGGATCATCGAGCTTACATCATCTGATCTGTTATCAATGTTTCCGTGGACCCAGATCGATTAGATTTCAGGTCACATTACTCATTCACTCGTCATCACCGCTCCGTAAGCGGTCTCCCGGCGGTGTCGTTTATGGTATATGTGGCCGGCCTGCATCTGATGTACTCTCGAATGCGGTTCAAGGGGCTGCTTAAGCTTCCATCTTTCTCCAGACGCGACCAATCAGCCATGTCGTATCGTGCTGCCACCGAAGAGCGCAGATGGAACAGCGTACGCTTCTCTTCGTCCCCACCTGTGGACCTGTGGCTCATGCTGCCTGTTGTAGATTTCGCAGGTAACATCAGTCCTGTCTTGCAGAGGCATCCTCAGCTGAACACCTGCAGAAAATGGAAGGATTCCATAATTATTTCAAGCAAGAATGTATGCCCATGAGATGATTCTCTACCCCTGCGCTGGTTCTGGGCGTCTCTCACACAACGGCAGTCAATACGATATACGAGCTCGCAGATGGATCCTTCACACAACGCGGCCTCAGTCTGAGCCTCTTCCTGCAGATGGCTACGCGTTTGAACCATCGCAAGTGCCCAGATCCCATCCCCGAGGTCACTGCTCTGACCCGTGCTCCAGACTTGACGATGCACCACACGATTGAGGAAGCACACATCTTCCCCATCCTGGCCACGAAGATGCCGCAGGTGGGCACTCCCGGGATAACCGAAGTTCCAGGTCGCCAAGCGCTCATACGCACACGCAGTTCTCGACAGAAACGGAACATGCCCACATTGATTCCCACAAGGGAATCCACGATGGTTCTCCAAAAGTCGTTGCCTATCTGAGCTTTACTGACCGATCCCCGTGGCAGGGCTGGAGGCGCTGGGAGAACTCGTCCAAAAGTACAAGGCCGAGCCCTCCAGTTATTGTTCGTCGTCAAGGTTGTTTTATTCGCGTGACATAGCTGTACTGATCCGTGACCAGCACCGTCGGAATTGCGAGCCTGTCTGGATGGTTTCCGTGATGTCATGTTCAATCACCTAGACGAGGAAGTCAACGACTTGAGAGGAGATAATATGAAGAAGTACTGGACTTTAGAGGAGCTAGATCTTATACCCATGTAGCTTGACGCGCGCTTATCAGATTAGATGTGAGCATAATTAGCGAGTATGTCTGATTAGTATTTGTGACTCAGACTCAGAGAGCCTGGCTTTACTCACCATGTCTGCTATCCAGCCTCGTCCTGAGGAGAATCCAACCTCCATTCCCGCCGGCCCTTCGCTCCAACCCACTTCCTCTCATGAGACGCTGCCCTTGTATTCACAAGACGAGGACCGCCGCAGATCTCTAGAAGACGCGGCGACGCCCCTCCCTCCAGGGTGGTTCTGTCACTTAGACGAGCAGTGAGCGTTCAAACCGCACACACCCAGCACGTTCACTCAAGAGTTAAAGCACAAAACACCCTTACTATGTACTTGCCATTCCATTCAAGCTCGGGCAGCTGGAATACTGACGCGCCCAGGTGGACATGAACAGCAGCCCCCCTCGTTCGGTGTGGCAACATCCTCGATACGACGCTGAAGAGGCAGCGCTGGCGCCTGCGTACGCATCGCCTGGACCGCAGCCCAAGACCGTTCTCGGCAAACTGAAGGCGAAATGGAAAGCCGAGCTCGAGGAAGAGAAGAAGCAGAAAGAGACCCAGCGACGCGAAATCCTGGAGAGGTATTCCGCCAGACGCGCGCAGGTGCTTGAAGAGCTCGTCAAAGACGGGAACCCCGGCCTGAGCGACTATGTGGGGTGAGCCAAGTCGAATGATCGTGATTGATGACGACATTGACGAATTCATCATGCAAGACCCCCGCCGTCGCCGTATGGGGGTGTTTACCGGGGTCTGACTCCCAGATTAGCTCGGAATCTGGGCGGATGGCTGGCATAGCCTCGATTGTGCAAATTACATGTGGCCTTATGATACAACACAAGTAGTGGTGTATACGAATCATTACGGAGCGTCTCGTTCAAGTTCATCCGCGGTCGGCTGGTGCTGTGTCTCAATCGCCGGATCCGTCCACGGCACATGCAGGACGCCCATCTCAAAGTACGGCCTCTCCGGTCGTCGGCCGCGTCGGGCGGCTGCGGCATGCTAATCATAAACGCAAGATCAAGTTTCTCAGGAACTTGGATCTGTCGTCGTACACGGGGTTCCGGCGAGGTTGTTGCCATGCCGGGAAACCAAAATAGACGACGAAGGGGTTCCGTGTCGGACGCGGCGGCCACGCTGCGTCCTTGTCGCCGGGGGGAGATTTGTCATCGATGACGTCTCGTTTGACCATCGACGCGGACAGCGGCTGCAAACGACCAGACGGCGTCAATGAACGATCGCGTGCGCAGTGGGATGCTCAGGTACTCGCCATGAAGTCCGACCAGAGGTGGCGCCTAGTCGGGGTGTATAAAGGCTGCGATATGACGGGTACGGCCATGAGCCTCACGCGCGTGTCGTCGTCCGACCGTAGAGCATCATCTCGCGCATCAGGTGCATGCGTCTCCGGCGGGCGAGGAGGCCGAGCGAGAGGAACAGGAACAGGAAGGCGAGAAAGGCGACCAGGAAACCAAAGTAGTACGTAGAGCCGGACGTCGCCGGATTATTGTTGTTGGGTGGCGGGGAGAACGAGGCCGATGGAGCAGAGGCGGGGGGCTGCGAGATCTGGGCCTGGCCCGCAGACGCCACTGACGTGGTTGTCGACATGAGCGTCCTGGGGGGGAGTCGACCGTGTGAGCGGACCGATGGGAGCCGCTGCTACTCAGTGAGTGTCATCCGTTCACAGCATACCGTATGGTGGCGGTCACAGTCACGCCCTGTGACCCACACTTTTGGGTAGATTCTCCCAATATTTCAGATTTGGAAGGAACATAGGGTAGGTTTGTCGATAAAATTTTATTTCAGAAAATCGGGGCTACTCCTAAATTAGGGTTACAAACGGCAACATTTTGGATGCAAAAAAAAATGTGTGTACCCAACCCATGCCTCTGACCCATATATATACACACAGCACACAAGGCTTTTGAATTTGAACGCTCCGTTAGCGCCACGCTGAGCATGAGCTCCTGTATGCGGGCGTCGAGGCATGGTCCAAAAAATAGCGCGCTGATGGGCGACACAGCCACCGGACCGGTTGACTCCGCATCAAACGGCAGATCTGAGTCGGAAAAACAAAATTCAACTTTCTGAAACTTCTGTTCCCGGCAGATCTTTAGATTGGGTCATTCTGCTGCTATCTACACTTATTTCATCACTTTTTCCTCCAAAACTTAGTCGGCAGTAGCAATTGCCATCGGGACTCAGACTTGTCATGAAGTTGTGACCGCCACCATACATGAATAGACGCAGTCACGCCCTGTGACCC